CTAATCAAAGGACTCGGACCCAGTAGGCGTACTTCACGAAAAAGGTGATGCCAAGGGCCCCTTCTTATGCCATCTCTTCGTTTTCACCATGACCTTTGCGTAGAATGGGAGCAGCGGGAAGGTCTCCACCCCAAGTCTTTCAAGCTGTTGCTGATTTCGCTGTAGCACCACGTGACGTAGGGCTGCAGGCCACCACCTCGCTGGAGCACCAGACCCCTTCAGCACCACCCGAAGCCTTCTTTTCACATGGTTGACCTCCGTCTCTACTCTTCCGTTCGCTGCATGATCGTCTCCAGATGTCATGGTGAGCAGCAAGTTGTGCTCCAAGCACCAATGCTGCACCTGCTTCGAGAGGAACTCCTTTGCTCGATCGCAGTGCATGCGGTAGAGCGGGATCCCCAAGCTGCGGTACTTCACGAAGATAAGGTTCAGGGCTCTGATGACCTCCGTCGCACTTCGGGTTTCCATGACTTCCGTCATGGTGACATTTTGAACCTTGACCCCTTTGAGCGCCTCGGCCATTTCGTCCTTGACCTTCTCGTTGAGCCGCCTTGCCTCGTCATCTGAAGCACGCGGCTGCTCATCTTCTTCCTCCCACTCACCTACGACCACATCTTCTTCTGCATCTTCGACCGGTAGATCACCGCCATCTCCTCCTGCAAGAGGTACAGGTACCGTTCCGATCAGGGCATACTTGACCTTTCTCCCGGTGCCTGCATCATCTCCAGCCAAGAATGGGCCAGCAATATCCACATTGAGGACATAAGCCGGTATGTCGGCCTTCAACCTTCTATGGGGCCGGTCTATGCCTGCCTCCTGCATGCAAACCCGGCACCTCCGATTGAACGGAGCGTGTCCCCTTTTCACATGCTCCTTCCATTTTTCAAGGGTCATCTTCTTGAGCTCCCCCGTTTCCGCCACCTTTTCTTTTGATCCTTCCTCTAGCTGATCGATCATCACCTTCAGGGACTTCTTGATCGCTGCCACCATCCCACCGGCCCATTTCGACCAGGTCCTCGTCTGCACCAACCGTCGCTGTAGGTCCGCCTCCATCTCTTGATGGCCTTGACCCTTGAGTCCATGAAGCTCCCCCATGCCGGGCAGGTTGGTCGCAAGCGTAGTTGGTTTCCTCCGTGGGTGGCCAGCGGCCCCTTGATCTAGGTCAACCAAGATCATGCCATGATCCCGACAGAACTCACGCACCTCCTCGAAGTTCCAAAACGAAGGGATGTCGAGCTCCTCTGCCCTTGGATCATATTTGGCTGGGTTCATCGGAGACTCCCCCAGGAACCCAACCTGGTTCCCTTTCCTCCAAGAAGAGTCCTCGGCAATCAACCACAGGGTCATCTGCTTGAAGAACAGGGCCGTGTCTCCGTTGACCTTCCTTCTGTCCTCCATGGACAAACCTGGCAGTCCGTAGCGACGTTGATCTCGACCCCTCAAGGGTTTCGGTCCCGGCGGATTGTGCCGTAACCTTGAAATAGTTCGGCATGGTGGGCCACCGATCACGGCCCGGATCAATCCTTTCTTCGCGAGGTACCAGAGATACCCCCACAAGGCTGCATCGTGCAGGTTCTGCCTTGCGTTCTCCTCCATGTCAATCGTGATGACTTCATAGCCTTTCCAATCCTCGCGCCTCCATTCTCTGGCGTCCTTTCCCGCGAAGAGGTGGACCACCAGCCCCTTGCTTTTCTCCCATCTTCTTCTCAAGGCCCGGTTGAAAGGGCTCCGGGCAGCAGCTTCTGTTCCATCCTCCACTCTGCCCATGAACTCCAGCACCTCCTCCGGAAGATGCGGAAACTGCTGTAGCCACCATTTCCGATCCATGGTCACCGCAGCGTGCCCATCCGGGGCATCCAGAAAATTCATCAACTTCATCGCCGCTGACCGTTTCATGACCGGACACCCATGACGAAGCCAACAATGAAGCCGGCCGTGTCCAGGGTGATCGATGATGCAGCCCTTGGCATTCCACTTGACCACAAAGCCGGCATTGACCAACATCCTCAGTGGTATGATGGGCTCCACCGGATCGAGCGTCAACAGAGCCGACATGCCAGGGTGCTTGTACAACACCGTGCTTCCGCAGGCCAACTCCACTTCCACCGCCGTGAGATTGTTCTTCTCATGCGATCTTGCTTGCCTCAAGGCATGCGTCGCCCCTCCGTCCAGGAGGGCAACCGGTTCCAAATCCTCAGCTTCTCCAGCCTTTCTCTTGGCTGCCTCATACTTGATCTGGAGGGCCTTCATCGATCTCAACGATTTCAGCAAGCCCGCCACCTCAGACATCAACCCAGCTGCCTCCGCAGTATCTTGCGGCGGTTTAGGTGTTCCTCCACCCATGGCCACCGAATTCGGCGGTGCGGTGTTGGGAATCCGACCGGTGACCTCCCGGGACGCCTCCTCCGCGGAGCCCGGTGAGCCAACCTGTCGGGCCCCTTCACCACTTGCGCCAGGGGCCTTCTCCAGAAGACCTTCCATCCTTCTGCTTCTCAAACTTGGACTCCTTGGGAGCGGCAGCTGCTGTTGTCTTGCTCGTGCCCCAGTCCCATTTCTTGACCGGGCAATCCCGCTTCGAGTGGCCCACCCCAGAACATCCGAAGCAACGGTTGTTCTTCTCCAAGCCGTCCCACGAATGCGCATAGCTGCAACTGCTACCCTTCTTGCATCCTCCATCTGTGCCCCAAAACCTGCATGGTGCCCCGAAGGACCTTTTCTTCTGGTCCCCCGTCTCTGCGGCCGAATCCTTGGTTCCAGATGTTGCCAGGGCCTTGAGTCCTGGAGCTTGCTGAGTTGGATTGGCTGCGTTGGTCGTGGATGATGTTTTGAGGGCTGTTGCAAGTGAAAGTTCTTCCGTCCGCCTGTAAATACTCCGAGAACTGCTTGATCTTCGCGAGGTGAGGGCGAACATCAACTTGAAGTTCTTGGCGAACCGAAGAGATCCGAAAGCTGGCTTGAGCACCAACCTTCCCGACCGCTTCCGCAATCTTGTTCAGGACCGTCAGCAACACCAACCCGTCTGGCAGTGCCACTTCCAACTCCTCTGCTCTCGCTAACCATCTCCTCCAAAGCCTCAACGTCTGCAAGGCCTCTGACAACGTATTCCCCACCTTCGGATCTGCCAGATTCTTGAGCAGGTTGCCTCTCTCCGACGTCCCACCTGGCTGATATATTTGATGAAGGCGAAACATGATCTCCGTTGCCGACATCTTTCTTGCCGAGATGATTTCTCTGCGGATTGGGTCAGGCAGCGCAGCAAGTAGCATGGAGAGCCCCCGTTGCTCCACCCGGTGATTGTGGACATGTCCCTCCCCCAACGAAGGCTTCAACCTGAGCTTCTCCAAGGGGGTCGCAATCAGCCACTCCGTGTAGGTGGATTCTGCCCGTTGAAGAACATCCTTCCACCACTCTTGAGCTGAACCTGCAATTTCCGCCATCAACGGCCCGATCGCCGTTTCCCAATCTTCAAAGGTCAAAGCTGCCAGATCTCCTCCAGGAGGAGGCAGGCTAGGCAACTCCAAATTCCTCAGAGCCTCTGATAAGTGAGAGGGAGCACTCGGTTTATTGTCCTCCAATCCCCTCGGAGGTGGTGGCGGTGGTGGAGGTGGCTGAGGTCGATTTCCTTCATCATGAAGCGGTGGAGGACCAAGACCTCCAACTACTCCTCCTTCTGATGCCGTCCTGTAGGAAACGTCGTCCCTTGTTCTCGCCGCCTGCAATCTCGCCACTTCTCTCTCAAAGATCTCCTCCGCGTCTCTCATCACCCGTAGTCGAAGAGCTTCAAGATCTTCTTCTTGACCTTGTTGTCGTCCTCGGTCTTCTGTGGTCGCCCTGCCAGCCGACACAGGTTGTGCTTGGGCTGCCCTTCGTTGAACCTCAGGGCTCCAAAACGGGTTCACCCCTCCACCTGCCGGTACATCTCCAGGACCATAGGGACCTCTCCGATTTCCACTCAAAGTCTCCCGACCATCATAGGGCTCCAACTGCCTTGGCCTGACTTCCCATTCCTGGCCTTGACCTGGATGAGCCGGTAGTTCTCTACTAGCTGAAGGACGCCCGTCAAGTGGTCCACGCAATTGACCATGCCCTTCAGGCTCACCCGAATCATGACCATGCCTTACTCCCGGATGTCCTTGGCCTTCTCCACCAGCCAAGAATGGCCCTTGGGGTACTACAGCATCGTGCCCGCCGTGCGCCCCAGGACGTCCTCGAAGTTCCTGAGATAGCTCACTTGGCCCAGGTTGTCCGCCGGACCCATGCCCTCGAGACCCACCAGGATGGGATTGACCTCCACCCCGCTCTCGAATTGGTTCACCTGGCCGTTCCAGAATCCGTTCTCCTTGTCCAGGGGGACCCCGTAGAGCTCCTTGCCCGTGAAGTCCATCTTCCGCCATTTCCGGCACCAGCCCTGGAGGGGGAAAAACGTTCCCCCCGCCCCTGGGCTCACTCCGCTCCGGACCGGTGACCCGGCGAATCCCCCGCCAGTCCTCCAGATCCACCGACCTCGCCCTTCGCGATGCACGCTCCTCCTCCTGCACCCGCTCCATGATGAGGCGGTCCAAGGCCTCATCCGCGGTCTCTCCATCCCGTACCACTTCTCGCCGGCGCCTGCGAATCATGGCTTTACCTCAGAGAGGTTGGGCTCATAACCTATGGTTATGTCTATGCAAAAAGGTCGCGCTTTTTTCCAGCGCTTGAGCCAATGGCGGTGCCATTGAATGTGCCGAGTGTGCTTCATGTTCCACAGATACAATCTGAATCTCCGTTTGCAATATCTCGATAGTATCATGGCGACCTCACAATGGCACTAATTGTGCGACCTCATCATGAGGTTCCTTTCGTAGGGGTGCTCCTTTTTTTGTTTGGGTTTGTATCCGGATAGTTCACCCAGAACAATGGTTGCTGTGCATGGTTGGAATGCGGGACATGTCGCTTTGGCCTCCCAAAAAGTGGGACCGTCAAACGGCGCGAACCGCCTTCCAGTGCAACGTTTTGTCAAGGTGAACTTCTTTAAGATCGCAGCCATACCCGGGTGCGGAGCACCGGATGGCACCTCGGCAGTTGGGATCTGACGGAAAATGTCCATGTAAAGATTCACCACATCGACCGGAATCTAAGAATTCAGGGTACGTACAAGCTGAGGTAGTCTTTGAAATTTGGCACTGTCTCATTTGGTTTGCCCTTCAGGTCCTTGTAAAGTTGAATTCAGGTTGGTAAGTCATTTCATTGAGTGCACACTTTGCGTTGCCTTCTGTTGGGCGCAGCGGAGCAAACAGGCCGCCATCTTGCAACTCTGGTTGACCCAGCTGGGTTTCGAGGATCCGATCGCTTGGCACCAGCTGTTTGTTGAGGAGTTTGGGGTGAAGCGAACCCACCTTTGACCTTGTGGCTTGTTGCTAAGATGGGGGGACCCCCAAACATGGTGGACTTCCTTTTGTTTTCCTAAACCAACTTCAAACAGACACACCCGCGCTGTTGCCAAACAAGTGCTGTAGAAAGAGCCGCATGTTTAAGGATGGTTTTCAAGTTCAACCAAAATGTGCCTCACCCCCCGCTCCAATGTTGAGAGGCACAGACACATTTGCCTGTGCCTTAGGCATCAATATCCCCTCTAGCGTGACGATGTCAGTGCTGCTGCCAGCTGAGCTCCCCGCTTGTGACCACTGCGTGCTGCGCTGGGAGTGGACCGCGCACCAGCAGGCGCACATGTCGCTCGTGTGGTTTTTGGCTGTTCTTCCAAAAAAGCGGGGATGTAAATAAAGGCTGTTGAATTCTTCGGTGAGGGACATGGGGAAGTGACCCTCCCAACATGGAAATGCACAGGCCCCTGCTTTAGAAGGACGGCCTTTCCAAACGCGGGTTCCGCACTTTCATCTTTGGGTACCCATTGTAGGCTCGTTCTTCTAAACCCGCGGGTGTTTTAGCGTGTGTTACACCCCCAAATTGAAGTGAGCCCATTTTAGTCCCCTCGAGGTATGCCTCGCCAACCTGTGGATGGTCAGAGATTCAACAGGAAGCCATACGGGTTCTCAATCTTGGGGAACCCCCAAACTGTTGGTTTCTCTTTGAAACCATCAAAAGGGTTCCAGAAAAAAGACACACCTTTATATATGTTTGTTATCTTTCGCTTCAAGCGACCAGAATGCCTTCAGACGGGCAAGCAAGGTCCCCAATCAGAGGGTTTCCCACTAAAGTGTCCGTCTTTCTGATTCGTCCCTTGCCTCAACTTCTCGGAGTCCGCTTGTTGTCTTAAGAATTTCTGCCGGCAATTCTCTCAGCGGGTCGATTTCTGATGTTCAACCATTTCCCGAACAAAGTGGTTTGGTTGCAAAGCCCTACAACTACTTGGTTGAACGCTTATTGACACAAAATTCTCGGCTCGAGCTCCAAAGGGTGGCTGCACGCCTCACGCGTCAAAGCGCACCAGCGCTTTTCAGCGCATCAGCGTGCGCCGAGAGATGCTTCGATGGCTCCTTCTCGTCTGGGCCTACGCAGCGTGCGTAGCTCGCGCCCAGACGACGGATGGTGGGAGAAGTGAACTTCCAGGCACGTTTTTCGTCTTCGCTTTCAGTGCAAGGGCAATAACAAATTGAGTCCCGCTTTAAGCTGGTATCACAGAAGACGGTTATTTCCTGTGTCCAGGCATGCGGAAGGATATCTTCGACCAGATGAAGGATAAGAAAGGCCAGAATCAAGCCCAGATGCAGAAGCGGGCTGACTGCCCCAAGAGCGACCAGCTCTCGCCGTTCCGGGCCTTTTGCATCATCAAAGGCGATGGCTCCAAAAAGGTTTTGGTACACTCTCGAAACTGCATGGGCTGGCCACTGCCGAGTTGAAGGGCAATGTAGATTGACCTAGTTTCGGCTAAGACGACTGAGTTCGAGCTCAACGGCATTGTGACAGGTTCAGTTAAGTGTTCCACCTGGAGTGGTTGAGCTTTTGGCTATTCAAGATCTTCAAAGCCCGAGTTTTGACTACGGTGCTCTATACTTACTTCGAACTTGCCCCGAGACCGGTCAGGTCGCAGCCAGGTAATCCGCCCTAAAAAATAAGACACCCCACTCCCCCGATTGTTGTTCAACAAGGGGAGAAGTATGTTCGCATTGGTGGGGGAGGTCATGAGCAGCCAAAATGTGCTCCAGGATGATGTTTGTAAGCAAAGGGATTTGAACAGCTTCATAACTGAAGGCAGGGGTCCCCAATAAGACTTGAAGAGAGGTAGGTGGGCGAAATCACTGGCTTAGTATTGGTTTCAATTTGGGCTATTCTAATTTAGTATTGCCCCCCTCGGTGTTGAAAAACATTAGGGGGACCTTTATTAGTAGGGGAACGGATTAGTTTCTGGAGAGAAGCAAAAGTGTTCCGTGGATTTACCTACGGGTGCGGGTTGGCTTTACCCACTCAACCCGCTAGTAAGTCCACCACACTCCCCGGGTACATGGGAAAGTGGGACAGCTTTTTTGCAAGGCTCGATTTCAATCTTTCAGGGGTGAGGATGCAAGGTGGCAAGATGCAAGCTACCAGTAGGATATGTCACAATCGACATCGCTGGGGAATTTACGCGTCCCTTTGAAACAGCAGATCCGTGTTTGCCGTTCACCATGTGAAGGCCTCCCACAGTGATCCGCTAGGGAGCAGTAGTAAGCCTTGCCAAGCAAGGCCTTACAACGTGATCCGTGAAAAGTGCCTTCAGGGGCTTGGGATAGCATCATTCTATGAACAATCTATTAATTACTAGATCCATGCGCATCTTTTGACTTCGTCGTTTCAACATTCAACCCGTTTTGTTTCATTCTGACATGGCAGCCAAACGTCAGTTGATCGGTAGTATTGTTGTGCCTGGACTTGTTCCGTGTCCTTCAATTGGCAGGCGAGACACACACACACACACGTGCGAACTAGCCCAACGTTTCACTTCCCGACAGAACCTACAGGGGGACGGGTCATGTTTACGTGTTTCAGACCCTATTTCATGCCAAACAACGGCACTGACCCATAGGAGTGCCACCGCTTTGAAAGCGAGGTGAGATTTACGTGAAGCTGAACGACACGGACGAGAAGTGTCGGCGGATCATCTCCATTGGCGGAGCCAACACCTCGGCGCTTTTTGCGGCCTCGAGGACTGGGGAGGAAGGGCATCCTGCATGTTATGGAAAATATAGGGGATCTGTTAGAAGTCCCGGGTCTTATGGCAGTTCTTTTGTTGGGGGAGGGAAACCCGGAGCGTTTTAGGCGGTTTTAGGGCATCCCGTAATTTCCCCTTGGCCAACTGCTCGGGTCACTGAGCGCAGGACCTGCGGCGCAGCTGGGGAGTGGAAACGCCGCGTGGCGGAGGAGCGGGTTGAAACGGCTGGGCCCTGAGGCTTCCCTGCGTTTCGTTTTGGTTGAAAACGGGCGAATCCAGAGAGGGCAACCAGAAGCACGTTTGTTTTTGGGGGATCCGGATCCGGATCCGGGATGGGCGAAAATGCCACCAATGTCCCCAGGAGCTCAGCGCCGTGTACTTTGTGGGGGGCTGGGAGGAGTGGCCCAAGAGTGAAGGGGAGCCTATAGACCTGGAGCTGGAGGATGGCAATACGTCCATGCACCTCAGGAAAAGCTTAGCCTATTGCTTGCTTCTTTGTCTTGTTTGTGCTCGTTTTGTTGATTGATGTGACTGCTGATTTCTTGAGTCAGTTGCTAGGCCGATCACCACGGAGAACTACGAGTTGATCAAGGAGTGCTGGGCCAGAGGGTGCGGCTGCGAGCAGGCGGCCAACCCCAAGGCCCGAAGTGTGTGTGTGTGTGTTTTTTGATGGAGTTGTTATGTATTGTCTGAAGCTTTATGTTTTACAATGCATATGGATGGGCATGGGTTTGGCTGAGTTGTTGCAGACACACTGAGAAAAGGGTTCTTGAACCAACATGGCTAAGAATTGTCAAAGCGGTTGGCGGACATGAATCCCCCCAGATATGTCCATCAAAAGGGTCCCCCAGTAAAACGAACGCCCATATAATGGCGGCTGTCCACTGTTCAAATGCTGATTCAGAGCCACGACAAAGGGGATCCCTGGGAAATCAAACATTTTATCACGCTTTGGCGGTGCAATCATCTTCCACATCATCTGCTTCTTCTACATCATCTGCATCTGTGTCAGACAACGATTGACTTGGCATTGCAAAGCTCGAGCTGGAAAAAAGCGTCGCGCGATTTTCTTGCGTAGGCGTCCGCATGGGCGCGACAAGAGACAAACGTGCGCGCGTAGGCACCCCTTGCAGTCGCGGAGGCGTTGCGTAGGCGCTCGCGTAGGCAAGTGTGCAGTGTATAGGCCCCGAGCACCAACAAAAAACACTACCCTGCAACGTCCATCTCAAAGTGAGTTTCCTTTTGTTGCAGTGGGGCAGCCATTTGGCTGGGCTTAACGAAAAGGGGCGGGGCGCCCTTTTGGACGTTTTGAACAAATTACAGGGATGCAGAGACCCGTGAGGGTCCCCATTTGGGCCTCTCAGAAAGGTGAAGGCAATTTTGTGGTCCTTGCTGGCCATCTGCGTGGGCGGCATTGCGCTCGACTCCTTCAAGGCGCGACGGGGGTGTCTTGTTGGGGGAACCCCCCTGTTGGCTCTAAAAGGGACACGAGCAATCTACCATTGTAGAGACAAACCCATATGGCTATGAGTGTTTAAGCAGGAACTTCAAAACTTGGTTGGTTGATGGTATGAATCTCCAGCACTTCCCTTTATTTGGGGAAACCAGGAAAATGGTTATGAGAAAGACTGCCCGGATCACATGACATGGCCTGTGATGTCCAACGGAAATGCTGCAATTGACCCTTTCGGTTCGAACATTACCTTTTTGGGTTGCCGAATTAATGTGAGCTGTCTTGCCGGGGCTCAAATCTTGTGGCTGGAAAATGAAAGTCTGTCCAGGCTGTATGTTTCGCTGGGGTCCGGGAATACAGCTTTCTGCCTTCCATTTGGGGGGCTACCTGAAGAATCTGCGTGTGGTTTTTGAGGCCAGCGTTTTGAGCAACCGCGAAGTTAAAGGAGCGCGTTGTGGGAAGCGATTCTCGAAAAGACCCCTGGCGCTTGGGGAGATCGATGAGGGCAATCCACCGGGCTGCAGCAAGCGACAAGTGGGGATCCCTCAGAAACTCGGGCGGTTTGGCGCTGGAAAGGGGGATTCTGAGGTGACGAAAGAGAAGTTCCTGGGAGGCGACAAGAAGGACAAGAAGGACAAGAAGGAGAAAAAGGAGAAGAAGGACAAGAAGGATAAGAAGGAAAAGAAGAGCAAGAAGGGTGATGATGAGGTCACCGGAGATGAGTCAACAGAGACCAAGTCTGAGAAAGACACTGATGACAAATCTGAGAAGGATACGGATGACAAATCTGAGAAGGATACGGATGACAAATCTGAGAAGGACACCGACGGCGAAGGCAAGGACGGCAAGGACACCGGTGATGACTCTGAGAGATAGCGAGGAAAGTGTGTTAATGCTGTGCCAGTGCCGTTGCAAGTGTCACCCCAGATTAGAAACTCGCACGCCAAACGGAGAAAATGCACTGTCTTCGCCAGAGTTGCAGTGACTGCAAGTTCGAACTCCTTCGGAAGCTTGCCCCTTTAGGCTATGAGCCCAATCCCTGTGTTTCGATCGTGCCTTTTTTGATGGCCAACAGGAAACCAGAGAAAGCTGCACCCGCTTTAGGGGCTCTTCTACTTTGAGACACACGTCTATGAATGTCCAGCTCTCGAGTTCTGCCGCGCTATGTTATGTACACACACAACACAGTAACATTGTAACATATATATACATTTTATGGGTGTGCTTGTGCGTGCGTGTGTGTTTGCCTCTGCGGGTGCTCGTGTGTGTGTGAGATTGTGTGGGTGTGGTTGTCCCCTCCGCTGGGTTCTTTCGTCGGTTAATGTGGCTGCCGGAAGGCCATGACTTGAACTGACTGGACAACAGAGAAGCAGCTTTCGAGTTGTCTTCATAGACGTGCCGAGTTTTGTGAACTTGAGCATATTTCAGATACTAAGATGTATGTCAGTATATCACGCGGTCGTAGCTGTAAAGGGATTTGTATACATACTTGACTGTGTATGCCTGCGCAGTTTGCATTAACATATATAGCTTGTGTTTTTGCCGATTCGTGCCAAATATGTTACGAGACATGTATCCGCATGTGTGCGAATTATGTCCGGTAGGTTGGGGACCCCTTTAAGGCAGAGGGGTATATCATTGGGCCAAAAGCACGGCCTGTGGGGTCGGTAGGCATGCGGCATGGTCAACACCTTGAAGGGCAATGCTGAAAACCCGCAATGCAGTTCCTACCAAAGGGATCCCTGACAACGCCCCACTGGCATTTGTTTCTTACTCCCTCTAGTTCGGGCTCATAGGAAACCTTCCCACCCTTACCTCTGTCATCCCTTGTGTCTTTTGGGCTATTGTCCATGTTAGAGGAGCTTTCAACACACAGACGAGCTACCATGACACCTGTGTGTTGGTCAAATGATTACTGGTAGAATCTGGTAGACAAGTCTCATATCCTAGGCTTCTGGTTGAACATTGGCCCATTTTTGGAGTTAGCTGACGGTGTGTCAAGATCATGACAGAGGACCAGGGCTACCATTTGGAGTCATGGGTAGTTTTGACACACGGCCATCCGGTATGTCGATAGAAGTGAATTCTATGATCGGCTGAAGCTTCGCCGGAAAGTATCGCGAATCCCACTATTGCTCCCTGCTCAACACGCGTACAGAGACCAGACCATGAAGTTTAAAGTTAATTAGCTTTTGGAGTAAGAGTTCCGAGTTAAAGGCTTCGTTGGCCTCAGAGGACGCATACTATCTGTCTAGACGGAGGCAACTGACCCCCAAATTGCGCAAATTGCAGGTGTCTTGGAGTGAAAGAGCAAACCGGTAGAACCCCTTTGCCCTTTCGGCAAGTACGGCCCAATCCAACCCCCTGGCTGTTTGGAGTTGGCAGAACTGGTCATGGAGCCCTGGCCGTTTCCCAGGAGTTTGGGTCAGGTGCATCGTCTTACATGGCGGAATCGCCGCAGTTCAGGGGCACAAGGGCTTTTCATTTCAGGTGAGTGACATCGAGTTCTACGTGCAATGCGCAGATGTGATTGCTGCAGCCTCGGACTGCGATGGCTTCTTCCTCGCGGTGCGCTTTTCAGAGGGTTTACGTTGAAACTACTTCAAGGGGAAATAGCGGGACCACTGGTTGGCCACAGTGTAGCCCCATGTTTTCTTCTAGCAGTGGTTTCATTGTAGTCGATACTCCCTCCGGGGCAACGTGACATAGGGATGGAACTGATGGAACCCTCTCTTCTGCGGCTTTCCACTTTGAGAAGCACCCTGTCAGTCAAATGGGTGTTTTTCTTTGGGTGAGTTTGCAAGTTCCTTTGGTTGTCTCTAAGGACAGGACGAATTCCTGATTTTACGACACCAAATCCGGACGAATTTAACTCTGAGTTGCCATTCAGCAAACCAGTTGCCATGGCCTTGGTCTGAGGCTTGAGGTTGCCGAAGCAAAGGGTTTCAAGTTGCCAAAGGGAGATGGAGCTTGGGGGACCTTAGTTTGTCTTACTCAGGGGAACCATCAGAGGATATGCGCCTCAGTCTCCAAAGGGGTTGGTGAAAAGCATCAACTCATTCCAGGGGGTGTAACACTTTATTGTGAAACTGGTAAAGCATCAAGTGGCTTTGCATGTGTTGCCAGACAACTAGTCTTCTTTAGCTTTCCGCTTCAGGAGCTTAAAAGTCCTCCAGCCAAGCTTGCTTAGCACAAACTCACTCAGCAGTCCCTTGAAAGGGGTCCGGCTGGTTGCCGAAGCAACTCTTGCCCACCAATGCTCTACCGCTATTGGGTTGGATCTTTAGACTTTTACTTTTTGGCTTCATATTTCCGTTTAACCAGCAAAAAGTTAAACTTTTTGCTGGGGGATCTACAGCACCCAAGAATGGACCGGCTGAGATCCGCAGCACTGCCGGCAATCATCTGCCCAGCCCAGTAGTGGCCATCTCGGGCATCGAGCACCTGCCGCAGGACTGAGCTGCAGAACAGGATGCTCCTTTCCGAGTCAAATTCAGATAGGTGTCCTTTTGATCGGTTAGTTTGCTTAGAAATAGATGGGTTCCACTGGTTTGTTTTTTTACTGTTCAGTTTACCAGGGCCATGGATTTTTCCAAAAGGTCACTTATGATTCTGATTCGGATAGCTTGGAAATGGACTTTTGCGCGAGCCGGTGCAGTGGTCCCTGAGAATCTCGGAACGCCTCGAACCGTCAGGCTGCTGACGGCTACCGCAAGGCCATGGAAGTGGCCGTTAAGCGCGGGTCAGGGTTTTGGTTTCCGGTCTCACCAACTCACCCACTCTCATCCCAATTGACTGGGAAAAGTCCGATCGGTCTATCGGCCCGTTTCCTGCGGTATCACGTATCACGGAAGTGGGCAACCCTGAAGGCGGGGGTCAAACGGCAGGGGCATGCCTGGGGACCGTTGGCATGTTCCGTTGGCAGGATATGCTACTCCTCCTCCCATCTAAGGGCCCATAAGAAAAATATACAGCAAGTTATCCCCAAGACAGGCTACTTGGTGAGTGGGCCACTTCCGATTTGCCATGATGTTTTTTCCCCAGTCGTCAGGCCTACCAGGGCGAGGGTCCGGAGGAGCAGTATTTGGTTGGACCGGCAGTGGCCACCTTTAGCCCTTGCTCTGCAGACACGCCAGGCTGAACTCTCCGCAACCCCGGAAAGCGAAGTTCCGGGGTTGGTGCCCTCTAGGGCGGTTTATGAAGTCAAAATTGGCTGTCGTTTGTGTAGGAACTGGTGCCAGAGCCGGCGAAGCCGGCGTGCGGAAGTTTCAATCCAATATGAAACTATGTTATCTTCCTCTTGGTTCTGTCTTTATTTGTTGCTGTTTCTTATATCTCTCTTGATCTATCTACCTATCAAATTGTCTATTTATCTATCCACCTTCCAGATTTCCATCTATCTATCTTTCTATCTATGTTCACAAGGTCGCGAGCGCAAGCTCGATAGACAGATGGATAGATAGATTAGATTAGATAGATAGATAGATTAGAGATAGATAGATAGATAGATAGATAAATAGATAGATAGATAAATAGATAGATAGATAGATGTGATAGATGTGACAGATAGGTCACGACGTCTCTACCTGAGCCTGCGAAAGTGCTGCGCCTGTTGCGAAATCTGTGACTGACCACGCGAAAGTGTTGCGCCTGCCACGAAATCTACACCTGACCTTGCGAAAGCGCTGCGCCTGCCACAAAATCTGCACGTGGCCTTGCGAAAGTGCTGTGCCTGCCACAAAGTCTGCACATGGCCTTGCGAAAGTGCTGCGCCTGCCACAAAATTTGTACCCGTCAAGCAAGCTAAGGTTGATTTGAAGCGCCAGAATGCGAATACGCTCCGTGATTGCTCCGACCAGGCGTCGCGATCAGATGCGATCAGGCTAACTTTCGAGCATTCCACATTGTCAAGCTCCAAATGTCTGGGGAGGGTTGCGCCTTTTTTAGCATTTCTACTCCTCCGCCACTCGCGCGCGCATTTTTTCCGGGTTCTCACGCGCATGTTTTCCCGCGTTCTTATCCCCCTCGTAACGCGGAAGTCATTCTAGTCTTTCTTTGACCACTGCTGGGTTGTGTCAAAGGGAGAACCAAAGACCCACCTCAGCTCAATCTCTGAGGGGTGGACACTTTTGGACCTGATGTTGCAAGGGCGATGTCCACCACGTACCCTCCGAACTGCTACCCCCCCCAGAGTGTTCCCAACATGTTTACATAGATAGCGTGTGAGCATGGGGCAGTCTGGGCCTTTGTGCAATCCATTTCCCCCAGCTGTTTTTTTTGCGCGAGGCTGGGCTGAATGACCTTAAGAATTCCTAAGGCGCCATTCTAAACCTAAAGTCTGGGGAAAAGCACCTTGCCCTGCAGGTTGCCTCGTCGCCAGTGGATCCAGCACAACGTTTGGGTTCTCAGGCACGACCACCACGGTTGACCCCTCGGACACGGCTACGACGGTTGACCCCTCGGACACGGCTACGACGGTTGACCCCTCGGACACGGCTACGACGGTTGACCCCTCGGACACGGCTACGACGGTTGACCCCTCGGACACGGCTACGACGGTTGACCCCTCGGACACGGCTACGACGGTTAACACCTTGGACACCGCCACCACGGTTGGCACCGCTGATGCAGGCGCGCTTTGGGCTCGGGAAAAGGCTTGCACATATGTTTCACCAGGTGAGCCTGTGAAACGGGGCTTCGCGCGTCTCTGAATTGCTCCCGGAACCACGTGTCCAGCTTTATATGGTGCACACCTGTCAGTTCACTTCATCAGGAATCCAGGTCCGTAAGTAAGCAAGTAAGTAAGTAAGTAATTAACCTCTCCCCCTCGCAACAAAAAAACAAGCAGGTCCGTAAGTAAGCAAGTAAGTAAGTAAGTAATTAACCTCTCCCCCTCGCAACAAAAAAACAAGCAGGTTCGTAAGTAAGCAAGTAAGTAAGTAAGTAATTAACCTCTCCCCCTCGCAACAAAAAAACAAGCAGGTTCGTAAGTAAGTAAGTAAGTAAGTAAGTAAGTAAGTAAGTAAGTAAGTAAGTAAGTAAGTAAGTAAGTACGTACGTACGTACGTACGTACGTACGTAACTAACTAATCCTCGCCCCCCCCCCCCTGGACCAAGTCCGTATGTAAGTAAGAAAATAAGAAAGCAAGCAAGTAACTAAGTAAGTAGCTCAACCCCACCCCCTCCCACCCCACTGCCCCCCCCCCCACCAAAAAACAACAACACCCCCCCCCTTTGGTCCGCATGCAAGCAGGTCCGTAAGTAAGTAAGCAAGCAAGCAAGTAAGTAAGTAACTAACCCCCCTCCCCCCCAAACAAAAAAAGGCAAGCAAGTCCGTATAAGTAAGTAAGTAACTAACCACCCGCCCCACCCCACCCCCCCCCTTCCCGCCCACAAAAAACCAAGAACTAGCTCCCCCACAAGTAAGGTAAGCAAGCAAAGTCAATAAGCAAGTAAGCTAGCAAGTAAGTAAGTAAGTAAGTAAGTAAGTGTCTCGCCGCCCAGCGCCCCCACTCCCCCCCCTCAAAAAAAACAACAGCAACACCCCCCCTAGGTCCGTAAGCAAGCAGGTCCGCAAGTAAGTAAGTAAGTAAGTAAGTAAGTAAGTAACTAGCTAACTAACTACCTCACCCCCCGCCCCACCCTCCCCCCCCCCCCGCGCACAAAAAGCAACACCCTCCCTCGCTGGCGAGCAAGCAGGCTCGCAAGGAAAGTAACTAACTCCCCCCCCCCCCGAGTAAGCAAGCAAAGTAAGCAAGCAAGTGAGTCAGTACGTAAGTAAGTACGTGAGTAAGTAACTCGGAAACCCTCCACCTCCACCCTCCTTCCGCTCAAGGAAGCGAGTCGTCCTTAAGTAACATACTCGGACTGGTAGGTATCTTACAAACCGCCTAGATTAGGTAAGCGAGTAAGTCAGTGAGTAACCTCCCCCCCTTCCGCTCAAGAAGCGAGTCGTCCGTAAGTGTTACTGGCCGACTGGATTAGGAAAGTAAGTAAGTAAGTAAGCAAGCAAGTAAGTAAGTGACTAACCGTTCCCCCCTTCCATACTCGGACTACTAGGTTTCAGCGCAGCAAGTAGAACAGGCAAGTACGTGACTAAGTAAGTACGTAAGTAGTACGTACATAAGCAAGTGAATACGTACCTAACAAAGTCCTTCCCACCCTCCTTGCGCTCCAGGAAGCGACTCGTCCGTGCGTAACATACTCGAAATGGTAGGTGTTTTACTCACCGCCTGGTGTAGCTAGCGTACTACATGAAGCAAGCAACTAGGTAAGTAGCTAAGCAAGTCCGCAGGGTAAGCAAGCCAGTAAGCAAGTAAGTAAGTAAGGAAGTAACTACGAAACCCTTCCCCTCAACAAAGCGAGTCGTCCGAAAGTAACATACTCGGACTGGTAGGAATCTTACTTACCGCCTGGATGAGATAAGTAAGTAGGCAAGTAAGTAAGTAAATAAGTAAGTAAAGCTATCCTCCCCCCCTTCCGCTCAGAGAAGCTAGTCGTCCATAAGTAACATACGGTGACTGGTAGCTATCTTACCGCCTGGATTAGGTAAGTGAGTAAGTAAGTAAGTAAGTAAGTGACCAACCTCACCCGCCTTCCGGTAGGTATCTTACCTACTGCCTGGATTAAGTATATAAGGAAGTAAGTGAGTGAAGTGAGTGAGTGAGTGTCTTGCGCTCAAGGAGGCGAATTGGCCGGAAGTAACATACTCGCAATGGTAGGTATCTTACTCACCGCCTGGATTAGCTAGCGTACTAAGTGAAGCAAGCAAGTAAGTAAGTGGCTCAGTAAGTTTGCAGGGTAAGCAAGCGAGCAAGTAAGGAAGTAAGTAAGGAAGTAACTAAGAAACCCTCCACCTCCACCCTCCTTCCGCTCAACGAAGCGAGTCGTCAGTAAGTAACATACTCGGACTGGTGGGTATCTTACTTACCGCGTAGATTAAGTAAGTAAGCAAGCAAGTAAGAAAGTAAGTAAGTCAGTACGTGACTTACCTCCCCCCCCTCGGCTCAAGAAGCGAGTCGTCCGTAAGTAACATGCTCTCACAGGTAGGTATGTTACTTCCTTCTTACTGGTTCACTTTTACCCCTGGCCCTCGTGGATTTGTTGTGAACCAGGGCGCAGTTTCGATCGAGGGGGATTCCGGCAGCGTAACGGGGTGTACATGTGACAAGTGTTCTGGGGCAAGGGAAGCACGCGACATGTCGGACATGAAGAGCCAAAGGCTTCCTAGCCACAACCAACAACCAAGTGGGTACCTTTAAAAGCCACAACGAACTGGATTTTTTCGGTACCTTCAAAACATGCCACCAACAAGCGGGTTGATGAAGGTTCATAGGATAACTGGTTTTCTTCACGTTTGGTTCTAGGCTCCTTTGATACTTGGTATTGAAACATTTGAAGACAAACCCACCGTCTCACCTGCCTGTATCCGACTCGTGTCCATTTGATCTTCTCATGTGCCAATTTCGCCCTTGTCATGAAAGTTCCCACATGTTGAGCCGAACCACTAGGATGCTAAGGTTCCTAAGATAGAGCACCCGTTCTGGTTTACTCTCAGATGACCCACCAACCAAGCTGGTCAAAAGGCAGCCTTCTCTGCTTTGCCTCAGGTAACTGCCCACACGCAGGCTGGGGGTCGAGCTCGGAGCGCGTGTCAATGTTCCCAAAGCGAACAAGGGGCTGATTTTTGACGCCCCCCGCTGGAGGTGGAGTTTTACTAACACCTCATATCTCATTTCCGCGGTTCTCTGGTTTGCCACGGATTTGCCCCAGGATGCAGATTTCTTCGTTGGTGGTACATTTCTTCTCTTTAGTTATGTTTGTTCTGCTGCGGATTGGCACTCAAAACATATTTTTTTGGAGGAATCACATGTTGGTGACCGCTTTCTTTGGTTCCATGTCACTTTACAGGGAGATGATGGCAGCTTCGGCATGAACGACTGCCAGCAAGGCGAGCTGCCTTCCTTTGTGTCCGAGTGCTACTGCGGCTTCATCTCCAGCGGCTTGGATCAGCCAGCCGGAAGCGCAGACACACCAGATCTGAACAATTTAACCACAGCGTTCTGCCAAAGGCTGCCAGGCATTCTGACCGGCGCCGGAATCGTGGTGTTTGCACTCGGTCCAAACCGAGGTGCTTGATTTCCTCAAACATTCCTGCTGACATTCACAGAAATGACATCGGCACGGTATTGCTTTGAGCTATATTTAAGCTGCTGTCGTTACGAGGCACACAACGGAATTTAGTAAAGTTAGAATGTTCTTAATTAAACCAGACCAAAGACGGCCGCTGTTCCAAAGAGAAGAGTTGATCCACATCGTCAAACAATGCAGTAATCAACATGTCCTAGATATTCCAGATACAACTTGATGCAACGTTGCATGTTTGCTGTATGATTTCAATTCATTGTGACGTCACAAAGGGCATTTGACCTCATCCATAAATTTCTCAGTCTTGGGACTGGTTCATGTATTCATTTTTGCATGACCACCAGTTCGCCTGAATGGTTTGAAAAGGAAACGAGAGCAACCCCTATGTATAGCATGTTTTATCAAAGAAACTCCGTCTCCGATTGAGATCCTGCAATATGTCGTAAATGTTTTCTTTGTTCCCTCTGAAGGACCTAACAAAAAGGAGTTTTCTCATCAAAGATACGGCCCAGCCACATGCCGAACAGCTTCCAGGGCTCGTTCTCCGAGGCCCTGCGGGCGATGGCTGCGGCGCGGACGACGGCACGGCCTGCTGGTGTCACTGCTGCTGCAGCTTCTGGGGAGGCGCGCCGTGCTGAAGAGCATGGCAAATCACCACCGCCACCATCACCTCTCTCTCGCTCTCTCTCTCTCTCTCTCTCTCTCTCTCTCTCTCTCTTTTTGTCTCTCTCTTTCTCTCTCTCTCTCTCTCTCTCTCTTCCTCTCGAGGCGCTACAGCCCGGATGCAGAACGAAGTCCGAATGACAAGGGCACAGACTCTTGGGAGCCAGGGAGCACATCCAAGCGGGCCACTCCTCTAGACGTGCCGAGGCACAGCTGCAAAAAGTCATAGGGAAACTGCACGCATGCAAAGCAAATGTCGAGACTTGGGAATCTGAGACTTCGTTCCCACATTACCCGTCGCAAGAAGCTGACGGCAAGGAAAAGTATTGCACTCATCAGGACCTCGGCACGCATGCAGCCAAGTGCTCGTTCAATCGTTTCTGCTGCAAAGAAAAGGCATCGCAGGCCACCAGCAACCATGATCACCACCACCATCACCATCACCATCACCATCACCATCATCATCAGCATCAGCATCGGCATCGGCATCGGCATCATCATCATCATCATCATCATCATCATCATCATCATCATCATCATCATCATCATCATCATCACCATCATCATCATCATCATCATCATCATCATCATCATCATCATCATCATCATCATCATCATCATCATCATCCGCCAAGGTTGCTTGGCTGCGCATGGAATGTTGACTCCATAGCCTACATCATAAGAAAAATGCGGCTCATATATAGATGCAGAATTCAGAGCCGTAGTATGAACCGTGGGGTATTCCTCGAGGTACTTGTTTTCCATGATCATGTTATTGTTTATTGGTGGCTTGGGATTCTTATAAAGCCAACAAGCAATAGACAAGCAAAAGGAGATGACATATTAAAACATAAAACCATTCACAACGATTCGCAATCCTGAGCAAAAGGGGGCTGCGGAGAGCATGTGGAATCGGAATGGGATTTGTGCCCTCAGGTGGCTGCCGCTATCAGCAGCCAGTGGTCCAGCAGGCCTCAGCAACACTTAGAGCTGCCCTGCTTCAATTAATTCTCGCGGGTCCAATCCTTGGCTTGGGAAACTGGGTGAAGAAAACAGCGACCTAAGGCTTGCGTTTGCGAAAACACCCACAGGTTCCTTCAGATTTTGATTTTTGGGATGGTAGATTTGACCGGAAGCTGTTTCTTCTCTTCAGCAAGTTTGCCTCCGAAACGGTTGCTTCTCTTCAGCAAGTTGGCCTGCAAGTACAAGCCTCTTTCAGAAGCCGTTCGTCCGTCGCCTCCGCGTTGAAGACTGGGCCAACTGCTTTTGAGAGGCCTGGAAACATCCAGGAAACTCGCGACAGAACGGCCGTCTGACCAAAAGATCCCATGACCGATTTCAGAAGCCTAAACTTGTTTTCGAACATGGTGTTCGTTGAGGCGATGTACACTTTGATTTGAGCACCTCAGCCAAACGCAAGCTCAAAGACCCTTTTAATTTGATCCAGGCTGCTTGATGGTGGAGCAAAGCTTTGGTTCAATCCTTTCAAAGGACCCGAGTTTTGAACTCCTCAGTGGATTTCCACTTTTAAGAACCCCTTTGCTTGGGGTCAAGTCTAAACATGGAGGTTCCAACCCCAAAGGGGTCCCCTTTCTACCCGGTCGCTGGGTAGCACCCGAGTTGTGAACTGGGCAGATAATGCAAGTGCACATCCTTGTGCACAGCCAGCAACTCTGCACGACCATTCCATGGCTTTGTCTTTGGATGGTTTGAAGCGGAACAAGAGAAGCACTAGGGTGAGTATGGCTGAAAAACAGGGGACCCTTTTTTGGCTAGGGTACTGGTTTCCAGGCATCTGAATCTGACCATGGAGAAGGAGTCAAGTATTGGTATTAACTTAAGAGTGGCCATGGACCCCTGTAAAGAGCTTCGCTCCAGTCACTCATTTTTCCCAAGCTCCTGGTCAGGACAGGGCCAGCTAGCAGCTGAGCTTTCCATTTGATTGGCAATGAGGTGAGAGGTTGTGGGGGCTTTCTGTTCAAAGGCACGTGCGCTGAGGGAAAGGCATGTGTCACAAAAAGTCGGAGCCCTTCCAGCTTCCCAGTTGAAAGAGAACACATCTGCATCTAACCCCTCGGCAGCCATTTTTCTTGGTGTCGCACCCGAGGCTGGCCAGGCTGGGGTGTTTGGACTGCTGACGGGCCTGACGGGCCTTCTTTGGTAGCGGAGAAGAACCAGCTTCAGAACTCATTCGGGTGTGTCGACTTGGGGGACCTAGTTGGTTTGCTTGGCGGGCCTGAAAAGAAAAAGGGGGCCCAAAATGCCGGAATCCTCAATGCTGGATTGGGCTGATATTGGCTTGACATTGGTTAGTATTGGTGTATTGGTGTAGCCTTTGATGTAGACCTCAACAGAACTGATCAATATGGTATAGTATGGCTTCAGTGTTGGTTGAGTTTGTTTCAGATGTTTAAACATTCCGTGCCCTTTTTCACATTGGCAATAATTGTGCAAACACATGTCGGTATTTGTCACTCCTGGGCTCATCGGGCTCCGACATGAAAACCAACCAGAAGGGGTTCCCCAAGCAAGGAGACACACCCATTTCTGGTCTCTCCATCTCGCATCTCGCGCTCATCGACGCCTCATTTTTTTTACCCAGCAACATGGTCAAGGAGACACCCGAGCTCCTTCGATCGTAGCTGGTCGGTCCGAACCCTGAGCCCCTTGGGCCGGGGTTCCGGTTTGCACAGCCCTTCCAGGAGTGGAGCCCTCCACATTTGCTATCATTTGCTGTCTCACTTCGACCCAGGTTTTATTCGTAACGACGTAATCATGGTGTGAAAATCCGGGTGGGAAATGCACTTGGTGGTGCCTTGACCAAGCTACAATTCAGGAACGACAGTTGCTCTCCATATCGTTCGAACAGTATGAAATGGCCTTGTTTCCGGCATTCGAGAAGCTCATCCTGGAACCATTCCAGGTCTCTGAGGAGTGAGTTCCAGTGTATTTCATGAGATGCGCTTGGTTCGGACCTCTGAAAGACAGTGACAGTTTTAGGCATGGAGAACATTGCCGAGCTGACTCGACTTAATTGATAGTGACCAATTAGTTGGATTCAAGCGCGGCATACCATAAACAGAATTGCTCAAAAAATATACAATCTGCGCATTGCCATGGCACATATAGTTTCTCAGCGAAGCTCCTGCCCAGGTATAAATTGCTTGATGCGCGGTTGGGGCTCCCCTTGTGATGGTAAGACCGTCTCGCTTGTAATTTGGGAATTGCTGCACCCAACGGCTGCCAGCACGCATAAGACTGCGCGCTAGCGCGGCACTGCCGAATCAAAATGACAAAAACGGCGTGCTTGCTGAGCGGGACGGAAGAACATAGAACCCCAGATTCTTTGGTCTTCCAGTCCTTACTTTTCTTCAGCAAAGGAGTTGTGTTACTTCAGATTGTTTAAGGTGTATTTCCTATGTTTGGTGTCAGGTGTATCTCGGGCATAAGCACGCAGGATATCCTTGTGAAATCTGACGGTCAAGATGGGGGCTCAACAGCCAGGTGCCAACGTTGCTGTTCCCAAGTTTCACGCCGGAGCCCTTCAGCAATATAAACGGTGGAGGGTCTCCTGCTGCCTAGAGGATAAGAGCAAACCTACTGAGAAATCCTTATACAATTCAGGCATTTTTACTGGGTGACATGTATTCATTTTCTGGCAAATTAAAAGAGAGATGGAACGTGGAAGCTGGGGGCGAGGCTGATTTGTGCGTTTGACGGACCAATTGTCTGTTACTTGTAGGGCGATGCCGAACTCCGTCTTTGTTTCGGGGCGTAGTTTGCGTCTTCCCCTTGGTTTGGATGTATCTCTGTTCAATGTTGTTTAAGGTACTTTCCAGGCCTAGCCATGATCCTTGATCATTGGATCGCGTAGGTGCTTTGACTTCTGCACACATGACAAGATCGGACATGGGGGGAATCCAAGGAGTGTTGGCATCTCTTGGCAGTCGCTTGTTATGTTGCAAAGCGAAGGGTGTCTGCGGCTGACTGTCTTTGAACGCAGTCCTGTACTCCAGTTTTGCTCACTCAAGCAATCAGTGTATGTGACATATGACGTATGTATGCAAGGGTTTTAGAATTATGCAGGTAGTTAAAGCCATGAGAACCATCATTACAAGAGCGGCAGTGTCTGCATCAGACTGGCGATTCCTGACTTAGTGTTGATCACATGGGCAGCACATGGGTACGGCCCCGTTCCGGTGATACGGAAAGAGTTTTGCTCGGATTTCGTAGAGCAGCTGGACAATGCCGGGTTTGTTCTTCCAAACGGGTGTCTAAGCTAGTTGCGTGTTTGAACAGGGGTGACCCAGTTCTGCCTAGTGGTTTTACTTGAACTCCCCAGTTGGAATTCCTTTATTGTGTACTTGTACGTTGGTTCCTGCTGTGAACCTGCAGGAGAGTATTGCCTTGGTTGCTCTTTGGCCCGACTTTGAACCTTGAACTTGTAGCGAAATGCAGTCAGTCATCCTCATATTAAGCTTATGTAACCTTATGCATAATTAACCATTGGGTGTCTCTTCGAACTTTTACTTTCTACTAGGGGGTCCCAGACCAACCCTTCGGCCTGGGCCAGGCTGCCGCCAACTGCCGCCGCGCCTTGCTGAAACGTCTCAGAGACGGAGACTGGCGAGCGCAGGACGCTAGCGAAGGGTGTCGCTATTACTTAACATGGATCTCCCAGGCGATTCCTCAAGCGAATTAACTGGACTCCATGTAAATCAGAGGTTGTTTTTGTCTTTTTCTTTTTTTCTGAAGTTGGTTTTATTGGAACATAAATGATGGTGATTCTTGGGACATGCTTACAGCTGGTCATCTCATCTTGAAAGCGTCATAGTGGGAACAGTACGTGGGGCCCGTCAAAGTGCGTAACTTGTCTTCGAGGTGGGTCAATTTTGTCCAAAAACAAGTGGGAAAAGGGCAACTCTGTGGGGTCAGAGCTGCTTAAATTCAGGTACCGGGATCACGGCAAGGGATGAGCTGCGGATAAGCCTGTGCCATTTCGTCATAGGGGTGTGGAGATATGGAGGTTACACACCACAGCGGCCACAGCGGCACATTTTTGCAAACTTGTATCGGGGTTCTTGTTCTATTCCATTACCGCAGCCCAATACCCGCTGTCAGCCCATCCAAACCTCCAAGCCCACAGGATGACTCAGAAGCCGCCGTAGCTGAGCCCTGGCCTCGGGAGTCGGTTGGTTTCGCGCTTGTGGCTTCCTGCCTAGCAGCATGTCGGGGAATTCGGTTGGTCCTTCTTTGGGGGTCGGAATTGGGCTCACTTGGGATTATCAGTTTCCTGAAAATTTCCGCCTGCAAGGCTATGCATCATGTGCTATGGTCAACCGACTTTGTAATCCCAAGTGCGGATAGTCATGCGTCTAGTGGGCTCTTAGCAGAAAACCAAGATGTCCGTGCCCATCTGGGGAGCTGACCACATGTGGTCCCCTTGAAAACAACTGGGGGACCTTCGGATGCCTAGGGCCTCGGATGCCAACCAATTGTGTGCCAAAAAACCAAGCAACACAAACACCATGCTTTATGACAATGCGTTCTTTTTTCCTGGGGCATCTCCTCTGAGTTCTTTGGATTGGTTTTTGAATGTGCAGCACTCCGTCCACTTCAGCACGCCTTTCAGGTGTGAGGAGGAGATCATTGACGACGCCAGGGTTGAGGGCACCATGATCTACTTGCCTCCAGAGGCCTCGTTCTCGTGTCCCACGAAGGCTTCGCCGATTTCGGGACGTCGCCGAACATCAGGTGCAGCCTGTGGGAATGTGCGGCTGTTGCGTGGCTTAGAGAACAGAGTGACCTCAAGGTTGACGAGTTGTGCCAAGGAACCAGTCCGCGAAGATCGATGGCCAGATGGCTGTTCTTCAAAAAGTGGGACCCGGCAAAGATCAACTCTTTCCTATGTGAAAAATATTTTTTGGGGATTGGAACCTCTTGCATGGATTGAGATGGCTGTGGGTCAAAACCAGTACCATTTTGGTTGGTAGGTGAATTCACCACCCATTTTAGGACCTATTTAAGTGGTTGGATTGGTTGATGTTCACTGGGGCTAGCCGATTCGGATTTTGACCCATAGGTGGTGAACGGCGGTGCGCCTACTCTGGCCTCTGATGCCTGGGCACTGGGGTGTGGACCTTGGCCCGTGCTTCGGGAACCTGGCCCCAAGAATGGGTGAGCCCCGAACAAACGGGTCGACTGAGCGGTCATGAGGACCATGGGGGTGCCTTTATTCTACAAGGGTCACTGGGAAGAGAAAGAGAGAGAGAGAGAGCACCTGTTTGAGTGGTTAAACATTTCACAGACCTGTTTCGAATGTTATGTTCCTTGATCCTTTGGAGAAAGAAACGGGACAAACCATCAAATTGGTGGGATCCCCTCAGAGACCGGCCAATCAGCGGCGATTGAACCCCTCGGCACTGGATTTTCTCGTTGCATGTGATTCAATCGGAAGAACCCCCTTTCAAAAAGAAGCCTCACTACCCTGGAAGCCCCGAAAACGATCCAATCCCAATGAAAGACGGCTCAGACCAACTGGGCACACCTACGCGCTTGGTTTGAGCAAAGCCCGTCACGTGTGCTCATTTCCAGCGAGATACCAGCAGTTGGGCCCGAGGCAAGCCCCAGTGACTGGCACTGGCACCATAGGTGTCCTTTTGAGTCAGTTTGGTCGACAAGAGGCGCTGGTTTCAACCGTTTCTTTGTTTTCAAGAGCACACTATTTGGGGCCCATGATTTCTTTGTAAGACCATCCCGTGGCCTGACAACCATCGGAACAACCGGGAGACTCAGCTAAAGGATAGTCGACAGCTTTAGAAGAAGGGTCCTTGGAGTCCTTGGCACATGACAAAATGGCACGGGCCGGGAGATTTTGCACCGCATTGGACTTGTCCGCTTCGGACCCAGTGGTCCAGCCAGGTACGGGTTTTCCTTTTGCTCACCCAAGTTAAAAGGAAGCATCGGACTTTGACGGATCACATTAGAAAATCGCGGTCCTTCTGGAATACTGGCTACAATTTGGATATTTAGCTAAGATCGGGGGACGGATCCCCACAACCGGTTGATCGGTGTTCGCCATTCTTTGCAACCGTTGTTCCAATTTCAGTTAAGCAGTCATTTCGTCTTTGTTTACTGAACTAATAATTGTGTGATGCCCTCCCAAAAACAGATGTAGAAGTGCATAGGCTTCCTTCCAAGAGGAAAGTCCGTTTTCCAAAGGCCTCACTGCCAGATGACAGGGTCCGCTTTTGGAGTTCCTCTCTTCGGGTGAGCTGTTGCCAATTTAGTTGCAAAGATGAACATGTCAAAGAAGGAAGTTGCCATTTTGAGGAAGCGCCAGCTATTTGGGAGCGTTAACCCCCCCTCACACTGCGCCCATTATGTTGACAGTGTTTAGGGATTATCAAAGTGAGGAGTCGAGGTCATTTCCCTTAAACCTGCCACGTGCCCGACTTTGATGCTAGCATAATGATGAGGCTAGTCACAACACGCTCTCAAGCCATATGTAAGGCATTGTAAGGATGGTTTTGGGGTATGTGCGCTGGATACGCCTTGAGCAACCTCTGAATGATCTACTTGTAGCCACTGATCATGTCATCATTTTCTGCCGTATTTAGGCTTGTTGCAAATCGTTTCAGATAGTGAAATGTTATAATGTACGCTAGCTGCCAAGTCCACACAAAGCCTGGGAAGATCAAGTTTGCCATTTGGGGGATTCCACCACCCCCTGCGCCAGCGCCGCGAGGTGTTTGACCTATCAACTGCTCACGGGGCGTCCGCCGGTGTGGGTCAGAGCCTTGGCCGGCCGAGTAAGGTCAAAACAAGTGCCCGACATGTTTGAATGAACTCAGCGTTTCTGAAACGCGGCAAGAAGGAGCCATCATGGTCCATGTAGAAACCACCCATTTAGACCAGGGAAAAACCAAGCATCTGATGGATTAATCTAGGTTTGCAACTGCCCGGTGGGATCCGAATGCCCTCTGAAATGGGGTTGGATCGATTTTGCCCGCTTCGAGCATGGCATAAATGTCTTAGGAATGCCCTGAGTTTCCTTCAACAAGTCGAAAGTGACAAAGGGCAGCTCCTTCAGGGGCTTTGGCCGCTTGCCGCCCTTTGAGGAGTGCCTAAGTAATCCCTTCCCCCTAATAATAAACGACGCCCCCCCCCCCCCCTCCCTAATAAAAAAAATACCCGGCCTGCAAAACAATTTTTATTATTAGGGGTCCCCTGGTTCTGGAGGGCAGGTTTTGGAGGTACTTCTTGTTCTGTGTAGGCTTGTTTGCAACTGTGGTCCCCCTGTTCCGTTCCGTAAAATCGCTTCAAACGCACATTTCTGAGTAAGGAATTTAAGTAGCGGGAGTTGAGGTCACGTTTTGTTGTTTTTGGTTGTGGGTTTTGGGTACAGCAACTTTGTAGTACAGCCGTAGTAAAGGAAACGTGCTCCCGGAGCTCTGGCCCATCACGGAGTCGGTGTCCGTGAAGAGCACTGAAAGTCGCAACTTTGTAGTACAGCCGTAGTAATTAAAGGAAACGTGCCCCCGGGGTCCCCCTAATGGGGCTGGATTTGAGTACGGGCAGGAGAATATCTACTTTAGAATTGGTTTAGTATTGGCTATTCTAAAAGTAGTATTCCCGGATTTGGGACTTCCGAAACAAATATTTATTATTAGGGAGACCTTTATTAATAGGGGGAAGTGATTAGTGAATCAGGCATTTGTTTGTGTGACCCCGGCAATTTCTGGCTCCCTCCTTGCGCGTTCCTTGCTTTAGACCCTCAGAAAGGCAAACCCACTCCCCGCCACTGCTCTTGCCCAACATTGTGTCATCCACCCTATGGAGTCATACATGATCAAAAAGAGGCGACATTGGAGCCAAATCAGATGGTGAATCATTGAACTTAAGTTGCTGGCGAGCTTGCTGAGAATGAGTAGTCAGCTTACTGATGGAAGGATCTTTTCATGTGTCATATCCTTTCACTTGACGGGGTCATAAGTCGTAAGTCTGAGTTTCTGGGGAATGATTCCCCCATTTGTTCAACCATCGCTCCTTTCAACATGGTGGGTTGTTTTCTGGAGAGAAGCATGCCTGGAAACGATTAAGTTTCCATCCCAGACTTGTTTGTTACGCTTGTCCACTAACATGGAACCTGATGCACTTGAGCGGAAGCTCGTCTTCCGAGAGCCCCAAGTCAGGTTTTAGGTTTGTGGAGAGGGCAGATGGGTCTGTCTGTTTTGCAGGCGCGGTTTTGAGGGGAATTCAAAAGAAAGCCGCCATTTCAGCGGTCCGCCTAAAGCCACGCCCATATCACTTCGGTCACAACTCCGAGCAAACAGCAAACAGCAAGGCGGAGAGCGAATCCGAAGAGGAGCTCCACGTTGGGAAGCTGTTTGGCCGATCACCCCAAGATCTGTGGGTTTTCTCGAAACTGATTTCCTCTACCGTATTGTATACATGTGTCCATCCGTGTGGGGTGGGTGGTCTCTCTGAGACATATCATATACAAATATATATATATGTATATATATATATATATATATCATATGATGCTCTGTTTGATGTGGTTTCCTGAACACTGTGTGCGAGTGGGTTCCCCAAAAGAATGTATTCCCTTTAGTTCCCTGACTCCATTTTAGTGGCACAACAAGTTTGGACTTGTTTTTTGGTCAGTCGACTCATGAAGTGTGTCTCAAAACAGGGAGTGTGGCAATAAAGGGAAACCACAAGGAGAACCACCATGTGGTCCCCTAAAAGAGACACACTTTGTTTGTGACGAACTTTGCTCGGTGTTCAAATAATTGGGTTACATGCACGAGGCTTCAGGAAGAAAGGGTTTGCCCTATGCAAGAACCTTACTTTCCCGAGCTTCAGGTTGAAGATGCACTTATCGAATTGTGTTCAGAAAGTTTGAGTGGTTTGTGCGCAGACTTTCCTAGTCGCTTGGCCCCCTCAAGGAAACCGGATTGACAACATGAACCTTGAAGCCTTGCCCATGGAGTTGCACCTGTAACCCTTGCCCATGGAGTTTGTTTCTCCCTGGTCATTTCAGCACGTTTGCAAGAGGGTCCCACAGGTTGTCCTGGTGATTTCTGGGAGTGAGGTTCCGGATCCTTCCAACTGCCTTTCTCAAGGTGCGAGGGGAGCCACTGGAGGCATTTCTGGGAGATTTGACACCTGACAGGAGCTACGATCGCGAATCGTCAGTTTCCAACTGGACGATGGCGGGGGGGGAGTATTTGGAAGGGCAAATGTCATGTACCGTTCCGTTTTGCGGTGTAAGGGTACCCGCCCAATTTGCTGGGAACCATATGCATCAGTGTATGACAGCATTGCTTGGAGTTTCCTCGTTAATTGGTTCAGCCTGTTATCTTTCTTGAATGAGACACCTGAACGCCTTGGTTTAGGGGCCACTCCGGGCCAGTGTTGCCCATGTAGGAACTCTCGTTGGTGTGTTTGTAAAGAAAAGTAGACAGGGAAACTACCAGTGGAGTCTGAAGGCAAGGTTCGCGCATGGGCTGAAAGCCAACCACGGACAAGTGCCACAAATGCAACCAGTGAAATGTTTGAGAGGGATCCGTGTCGGTGTCCATTTTGGTGTGTCTTTCTTTAAGGACACAAAATGGCCCTTTGTAACTGAGTGTTGTCCTTGCAAACTGGCGTTTGTGTTGAAAGGTTTCCTTGTCGGAAGGCTCGTGCATCATGGCTTGCATGGAAGGAAGGGAAGGGGACAGAAAAGTCCGAGTCTCATCTAGATACTCAGTTGCTTTGCAATCTTCCAGTCAGATGCCTCAGTCTTGAGTCATGAGGCCACTAGTTAAGCATCGGGCGCTTGGCTGTGTCACTGACCATATGGCCAATCTTGGCTCCAGCGGCTTCACCGAGAAGCTGAGTGCCGATCACTTTCGGTCGGCCAGCCGCGCAAGCGCCGGATGGTTGGCCGGACGAAGCCAAGATCTCCAGAGACCTACGTGCATTGCCTGGGTACCTCGGCGCAAGTAAGCAGCTAGTGCGAGCTGTAATGTTGGGTCCTGACTAGGCTCGTTCTTTTTGAGGGGGGTCATCTCTTGTTCCAAAATCTTGGTTGTTGTTTGTGCATTTAGCTCAGAGTGGAAAACCTTGGGAGACCAGATCACCAGAGCACCCCGATCCTCCCGAATCTCGCGTGAGACGCGTCTCGCCTGAGGCGAGACGCGCGAGATGCCCGCTGGAGCCGGCCTCCACGGGCCCAATGGCGACCTGGATGGAGCGAAGCTTCGATCTGGCGATTCCGGAGAAGAGCCGTTCCCCCAACTTTGCAACAGAAAGCTGCATGTTCTTAGCGTCTTAATGGGATCCAGGGTGATAAAAACCTTGTGCGTCTGGGCGCTAATGCGCTAACAACTTGTCAGGTGCAAATAGATTCAACACGTGTGGGGTCAACGTTGGGGATCTGCAGGTATGGGAGTTTGCATACCCCAACCTGGGGTATGGCCCTGTTTCGACAGTATGTGCCCTTAGTAAGTAGTATATCACCTCCGAATTGTAACCTGCAAACGCACGTGCTGATCTTAGAGGTGTTGGGTTTGGGGGAGGTGGCACCCCTCTTGGATGAGGGTTCGACGTTGGCTAAGGCCATGATTTCTTCGCAGGTTGCGACATATTTACCTGAAATCCTCTCTGTCATGGAGTGCACATGAACCACTGGGCCATGGGGGCGAATTTTGCAAGAAGCCAAACTCATCATGAGTCCAAAACAGGCGACCTGTAGTGGTCGGGAGGATAACCCGCATCATGATTTCCAGCATGGTTTCAAGCTGTTTCACAACATGGCAATCACTAGTGTCCGGGGGTCATATTTTTTTTTGCGGGGAAGACCTATATAAACGATGGCATGATTGGAACGGGTGCCAGTTTACAGGTGGCCCAACCAACCGGCCTGTTTCCTCGAGGTAGGTTTGCGTACCCACAAAATGGCGTCGCACTTCGGACGGAAGGCTATTATGAACATTGCAGGCAGTCGTTCAAGGCACTTGCATTAGCTTCATCCTGCAATTATTGGCAGATGAACAAGCTCATGCCGCCCTTGATGTGTAAGAAATCAGGAAGTGGCAGCGTTTCCTTGGAATGTGCTGCTTTAAGGATGTATAAGACATCAGGTCTCCTATGGGCCACTTCGAGAGGGATGCCAAATAAAACCATGTGGATAGCTTAAGCTAGTTTGACTTCAAAGTGTTTGGCTATTGGGCTATCACGCGCAACAGCCACTTGGGGTGCTGCCTTGCGATGCTTTCGAAGCAGCTTCAATATACTATGTTTGTCAGGTTTCCCCAACAATCCCAGGGCTGACATGTCGATGTTCCGGAAGACACCCTTCGCGTGGGTCAAGAGGGAGGCCAGGGCTATGCACGCCGAATGTGAAATGAATGGGTGCTGAAGAGCATACGCTGGAGCATTCTGATATGGGCGGGGGCCTTTTGTGAAGTTAGGACCCCTGGTTGGTTTCCGGAAAACAAGCGGATGCCAGCCACCCTCTTTAGGGGGGGCTCCTGTTTGGACTTAGCTTCCACAAGGAGTTTGTCGCTGTTCACTTAATCCAGGATCTTTTTGTCATCAGCAAGGTGACATGACCAAACATCACAACATCGGCCGCAGAGGTAGCTGTTCACACGAGTTTCGCAAAGCGCACTGTTTCTTTCTTTTACCAGGCCTGGTTATTCGTATGCGATTGTTTGTCTAAGCTTATGGTACATGGATCGAAATAGAAATGGTGACGGTATAAGATCAGTGTGGGTCTCCTCGTCACGGTTCTTCAAGTTAAGTGATAGTTGCTTAGGCGACGGAAAGCGACTGTCCGAGATAGAATTCTCAGCAGAGGAATCACGAGAAGGCGGGCCAAGGGCAAAAGGGCTTGGGTAGTGCAGATACCTCGAAAGGGCGCTGCGTGCTCACTTGATGTCTATGTGACCATGGGAGGTGGGTGCTCGCGTTGTGCGGAAATGATAAGGGACCGCATTTGTTTAAATGCTTGGGCTTATGATTGGCCATGGAGCAAAGTCAGCCGGAGAAAGCAAACTGCAATTCCTTCGCATGAACCGACAGAAGACGAGCCGACGAGCCGACTGGGAGGACATGGGGCAAGTGACCAAAGGCCTGGGTCACAAAGAGTATTCAAGGCTCACAGTTCAGCTTCCGGTATGGCCGTTTTCTGGTGGTGCCCGCAGGAAAGCGCCTGGAAAAGGTATGGATACTGAAGGTCGGAGAACTGGCCATGTGCCATTGACAATACAACAGGTAAGGGCCAGCTAGGAACCTCAGCATACCAAAAAAGGATGCATTCCAATTGTTTGCAGATCCTTACATTCCCCTGTACCGCCATTGTTTCTGAACAGACGTACTTATTTGTGTTCAACCGCTGGGATCCCTTTGGTTGGTGAGCACTTCATTTGTTTGTTATTCAGCCTGGCGACATGAGCCATCGCCATGGCGTTCCATGGGCTCAAGCCCACGTGCAGCTGGATGTTCCTTGGAGATTCGGAAAGTGAAGCCTAGAGTAAGCCACCTATATATTTTGTGAGGGAGAAGTGTTGGATTTGGTCATAGCCGGGTACTTGTGACGCTTGCTTTGTAAAAAAACACATGAGACAAACTCTTGGACTGGCGGTGCGGCCCTTAAAGCTAGTGTCAGGGCTCTTTAGATGGTCGGTGTCTCCTGGGTTTGGATCTAGCTACCCACAAGAGAATGAAGCCCCAGCTTTGACCTGGGTCTCTGTGCGCAGTCCAAGCCGGAAGCCGCAACGCTCCAGCTGAACCGGAGACAGGCGCGCAATCCAGTCCCATCATGGCCCGATGTGGTTATAGTAAGTCTGGTCATAACCCACTTCGGAGACTTATAACCATGGTAAGTGGGTTATTACCATTTTTGTTACCCACTTAGGAAATATGGCCATGAGTTTGACTTGCCCAAAGTTGATGCCTTTTGTCCTCGAGCATGTTTCTTTGAGTCCCCATTCGCGCCTGGAAACTCTGCATTAAGCAGCTCATTGAGCTGGGCATGTTCTGCCGCTCCGTTCACCAGAGGGCTTTGGTTGGTACGCTTGGTCCGCTGCATCTGACCAAGGCCAGGGTCTGTGAAACAACAATGTGTTCTTCCCCCCCGCCTTTCCTGGTCCCATATTTTTTCATTCTTGACCATGGGGATCCCCGCGGAAATCGCTTGATTTGGGGACAGTCACCGAAAAAGCCATCTGGGGAAACGAGTTGACCCCCTGCGCGACTTCTCTCACACAATGAAGGCTCCTTTCACAGGGTGCTTTTTCATCAATGAAATCAGTCACTGAAATTTCTTGGAGGTTCGGGGTATCTGCCTTGGGTACTCATACTATAACCTTTTGGGCTTGGCCTTTTGTCTAAACTGGATGGAATCTGAAACTCTGAGCTCTGCTTTCCATTTGGAACAGGGTGGGCGTCCTTCGTCCAACCAGTGGCTAGGTCATGGCATTCCTGGAATGATGCGCAAATTTGGAATGGAATTCACCCCCTGTTCGTGCGTGAGTAACAACAACTAGCATGCTGATCATTTTCAAACAAGTGGCCAATTCGGGCTTCTTGGACCCTCTGAGGTGGCACTAGGCAAGGAGTGATGACAACCTTGATCGCAGACTGTGTGACTTTTTGCGTCGCGTTCCATCAGCTGCGTTTGCGCCAGTCTGCCTGGATGTCCAAGACGAAGGCTCCGAGTTTCAGAAATTGCTGGCCCGCCTCGAAATGCAGCAGCTCGGACAAAGAGTCGCTAGTATGTTTTGTGCGGTTCGGGAAGGTGGGAGTTGCTTGCTTCTGGGCTTGGCTCGCGGAAGGTGTCCAGCAATTGAACCAACCAGTGACAGATGTTTGAGGTCACCCAAATCTGACCTGCACATGCAACAGGGCTTTCCGAGAAGGGGATTAAAAAATAGAAATCCATACGGGACCTGAAAATAAACGAACACACTTGCAACCACACATACACACACACCCACGCGCACGCAGGCACGCACGCACGCACGCAGGCACGCGCGCGCACACACAATCACACAAGCCAACACAAACCTACGCAGGCACCCACACACCCACACCCGCACGCGCACACCCACACCCACACACCCACACACCCACATCCGCACACCCCGACACACCCACGCACGCGTGCAGCCACGCACGCACGCGTGCACCCACACACCCACACACACACACACACAATCACACACACCCACCCACCCACCCGCCCACCCACCCACCCACCCACCCACGCACGCACGCACGCACGCACGCACGCACGCACGCACGCACGCACGCACGCACGCACGCACACGCACCCACGCACGCACGCACGCACGCACGCACGCACGCACGCACGCACGCACGCACGCACGCACGCACGCACGCACGCACGCACGCACGCACGCACCCACGCACCCACACACGCACACACGCACGCACGCACGCACGCACGCACGCACGCACGCACGCACGCACGCACCCACACACACACACACACACACCCACCCGCACCGCGCCGCGCCCGCGCCCGCGCCCGCGCCCGCGCGCACGCGCACGCGCACGCGCACGCGCACGCGCACGCGCCGCGCACGCACCCGCGCACGCGCACGCGCACGCGCACGCGCGCACCCACGCACCTACGCACCCCCGCGCCCACCCACCCACGCACCCAACCACCCACGCACGCACGCACGCACGCACGCACACACACACACACTAACACAAAAACCACTCCAACACAACACAACACAACACAACACAACACAACACAACACAACACAACACAACACAACACAACACAACACAACACAACACAACACAACACAACACAACACAACACAACACAACACAACACAACACAACACAACAACACACACACAGACACAGAGACACACAGACACACACGCACACAGCACACACACACACACTCACTTTGGGCACCTTGCAGTTGGCTCAGGTATATGCAGGAAGTGGTTTCCTGGAGCAAGGAGATGAATCTGCTTCGCAAAGAGAACCTGCGGCTGCGGGGCCGACATTCGGCCACCCGGACTGATCTTTAATTGGAGACATGGAACCATATGGAACCCTTAAGGTACGGTTACCTCGTACAAGAAAAGGCCGAGGGCCCTGAAGTTGACCCAAGTTGATGTGACTGGCTTTGTCTTTCCAGGCTGGAAAAAATTACGGTACGTGGAAAACCCGTGGCCTTTGGTGCCCGAACATCAGAAGAAAGCCCGCAAAAAACCCTGCGTAGGGGAAAATTGAAAAGGGGGGGGGCTCGAGGGGGGAAACGAAGCCGAACATGAAATTCGAGAAATGACACACCTTTGTGAACAATTTTAAAGGTGTGGAAATCTCGAGTTGCCACTATTCAGAGACATCAAACCACAAATTCCTGCAAAACTACATGTGGCGCAACCTACCGCAAAGTTGCCATCCATGGCATGCTTCAAAACTAGTTATGGATTCTGTGAGGCAATCGTTGCTGCGCGTTCAACTCTGACATTAAAAGTTCACGACGAAGTACAAGCCAAAACTGGCAAACTGAAAGGGCAGGCAGCTCCGGCGCGAAAGTCGCAACTTTAAAGTACATTAGGGAGGTACGCAAAGTACACTTTTGCAGCTCCGGCTCTAAAATCGCAGCACGCGAAGTACACTTTCGCAGCTCCGGCTCGAAAGACGCAACTTTTGAGTACAGCAAGCCAGATCCAAAACGCACGCATGCATGCATGCTAGTCAGATTCAACAGGGCGTGCTCGAGGCCTACACACTGCACACACTCCGACACGAGTGCCTAACGCAAAGCCTCCGCGACTGCAAGGGGGCTGCAGACTGAAATGATGAGCTTAACATGAGGAGCGGCGCCTGCCAGAGCCTACGCGGATTGAGGCAGTTCTGTTTTCAAAAATCTAGGCGTGCCTTTCTGGAGCAATAGCAGCGATGCAAATCTCATGGCTACCATGTAGCCACTCTCCCTCATGTGGCCTCAACCACTGTGGAGAACGAAAGCTTCAAAAACATGTGCAGCCTATGCAGGCTTGCCTACGCGAGTGCCTGCGCAAGGAAAAACAATGATGAACATGATGCAGCTCCCTTCTGTATAAACCCTTGGTGCCGGAAAACAAAAACCGCTGAATCTGGCTTTCCATAGTTCCTCAGAGGACCTTGTTGCTGTAAACCCCATTGAAGGATCTTGCGCGTTCCCCGCGGGTCAATGGGGCTCTCACTCCTGCCGTGGCCAGAATGTTCCTGAGTTGTTTAGACTTGGCAACATGGCAACGGGCCCACAACAAGGAGCTTCTTTTCTGAGGACCAACAGTTTCAAATTAGCTCTGCTGGGCTCATAGGGCTTTTGCTGGCGATCCCCATCTTTTTGACGTTCCTGCAGAGCATACCTTGCGTACGACACTTGTAGTTTAAAGTTGCGACTTTGTACCTCGCGCGCTTCACTTGTACTCAAACCCGCGCCTTCTCTTGGCGAAGTTTAACTTGGCCAACGCACAAAATTCAAGTAACACTTGGTCAAGCCGTTCTCACGGTTCCCAACGCTTCAGCCAGGCACGCGTACACACTTTTCAGCCAGCGTCACGCGTTTGGCCTCTGATGCACCATCTCATGCGTTCTAGAACTTTGAAGGTAGCCCTGCCCAAAGAGCCTCCAAGCAGATGCAAATTTGTTGCATAAACCATGTTTTTGCGCGCAGCATCGCCAAACCATGTTTTGCGGCACCCTCCCCCCCACTCCCCCAAGATTACCAAGCTCGCCGCAGTTGAGCACACCAAGTGCGCCACAGCTAGCCCAACCTGCCATTCGCGCGTCCTATTTACGGGTATTTTACGCTTCCACACTTGCACAATTTTCAAGACTTGGGCAAGGCCATATTTTCTCAAGTCAAATTTTGCTTGAAGCACACACTTAAACATGACATGCAAATTGGCCACCCGATTAGTTGTACAGGCCCTGGTAACAAACCCTCATACCAACGAACGCAAAACATGAGTACTGCATCATACGCGCACTGCGCGAAGCGTTTGAGCCAATCTCCTTGCAAGAGTGAACTTTGCCCATTGTGAGTAAAGCTTGGTCGTATCGGATGGACAAGGTAAGCTAGGTCACCGAAGGCCAGGGTAAAAGTTGCGACTGAAAGGTTGAGACTTTCGAGCCGGTGCGTGCTAGAGTGTTGCATGCTACACCTCTACTCAAAAGTTGTGACTTTCGAGCTGGGGCTGCCAAAGTGTACTTCGTGCACTTGAAAGTTGCGACTTTTGCGCCGGGGCTGCCAGAAAGTACTTTGCAACTACACGTGTGCTTGAAAATTGCGAGTACTTTGGAGTGGGGGAAGCCAAAGACAATACTTTGCATGCTGCACTTTTACTTCAAAGCTGCGACTTTCAAGCCGGAGCTTCCAAAGTGTACTTCGCGTACCACACTTGTATTTCAAAATTGCCAATTTCGAGCCAGAGCAGCCACAGTGTTCTTCGCACACTACACTTAGTGTACTCAAAAGTTGCGACTTGCGCACCGGAGCTGCTAAATTTGCTTCGCGTGCTACACCTGTACTTAAAAGTTGCGACGAGCTGCCAAAGTGTACTTCGCGCGCTACACCTGGTCTGTACTTAGAAGTCCTATCGAGCCGGAGCTACCAAAGTGTGCATGGCATACTTCACTCGTACTTCTAGTTTCGATTTTATGGTCGAGATTTTCGAGCCGCAGCTTCCTAAGTGTACTTCGTGTAAAAAAGCTGCGACTTTTGAGCCGAAGCTGACAAAGTGTACTTCGTGCGCTACACCTGTACATAAAAAGTTGTGACTTTCAAGCCGGGGCCGCAAAGATTTCCAACAAACCAAGGAGTGAAAAAATGCGCTAGCACCAAAAAGGATCGAACTGTATATTATCGCTGTTTATACGACCCCACTTGGTCCCACACATGGTCAAAGCAGGCGCACGTGCCAAGTTGCGGAAACACTTAGAGCCAACATTCTGGCCAGCTGCAACTTGCTCTACAAATGGCAACGATTGACCAGAAGGAGAAAAGGGGGTTGTTCCCAAGTAAGGGGAATTCGTGGGTGAGCCTCTTTGTTTGTTTTAGTCTGAACCAAAAAGGACGTGAAGGAGATCAATGATGAATAGCATTGAAGAAGGCCCGAGAACGGGCAGTTTTGAACTTGTACTTGGCTCAAATAGTGCTGCGTGTTTTCTCGACTGGAAGCAGTCGTGAGTGTGTGTTCACAAGTGGATCGCACGGGGCTTCCAACGGCAGGACTTCTTTCTCAGCAGAGTCTCAAGCGCATGTGTGTGTCCATGTTGTACTTGGCCCGCTTAGAATGACCTACATGTTTGTGCCGCCTTGTCCTATTGTTCTTTGTTTTTGGTTCCATGCTGAAACCGACGAATAAGTTGCTCCATAGCAACTCAGTTCAGCATGCAAAACGGTCCCCTGAGGAGTGAGCAACACGTTATAGTTGATGTTTTTCGGCTTCCAAGTGAAGTTTGAGTACTGCGAATCAGTTCTTCACGGGCGCCAATGTCCACAGAACCGAGGGCAGCTTTTCGCCTGACCTTCTGGCAGAAGGCGAAGGCAGGCAGTCCAGGAATGCATCCAGGTGCTGCTTGGAAAACAAACATGGCACTGGGAAATGAATGCCACCAAACTGAAACAAGTGCTCAACCACTGACGCGGCTCTTCATTTCACGGTGATGTCTCTTCGTTGGACATCAAGGAGGTCGGTTTGCCCCCAAGAATCAACCTGTCCTCTTGAAGGCATTGTGGTCGGCCGACTTTTTAGATGTGTCTAGACACGTGGTTGTTGCGCGTTCAGAACACGTGCGTTGTTATTGCTTGGAGGAAATCTGTTTATTCATTTTGAGTCACATTGATCTTATGGTCACTCGGGACGGCCATCAAACCTGGATATTCAAAATCAACTGATTCATAAGAAGAACAATGGCGCGACACAGGAGTGGTGTTGCACATGTTCAATGCATTTTGAAAGAAGCACATGCGCGGGTTTTGTCAAAGTGCATTAAATAGGCACCCTGATCTAGACACGGCATCACTGATTTATGGTCACCTTTGGACATTGAATAAGGGAGTGCTTTGGTTAAAGTTGCAAGTTTGAATTGGAACAAATCGGAGTTTTTGGCGCTCACAATTGCGATTTGGCGCGTCTCTCTGCTTTTTCGTCGTCCTCCCATTGTCTTCCTGCAATCTCTCTCACAGTGGGCAAGTTCCCGATCCCTGCCATGTTCTACTGCATCTAACATTGCTCAACGCTATTGTCAAACAGCGATTTCGCGATGGCCGTCAGATACCGTCCTGCAACCAACGAGCCGAATCTGGATTCGCACAATTCAGGATTTTCCAGCGTTTGCAGGCCCAGCCTCGCGTTTCATAAACGAGCTGTGGAGTAGACTTCGCTGCAAAGGGATTTCTGTTAGCAGCTTTCTTGAAGTTGATATTTGGAGAGGTTGGAGTCGGGCCCTATCCACCGACAGTCACATGTGTTGGCTTGGACCATGTTAGTGACGGTTCATGTACATGCCCACCACCTGGGTGTGAAAAGGTATGTGAACCCAAGAAGCTGTTGGGTTCTTGCATGGTTGGAAGGTTTGTTCCTCTACATACCCCACCGATACAAAACGAACTGTGAAGCTCTTCGTCGTTGAATGAGATGGTTGGGAATAAACCACATGATCGATCCAACACAGAGCATTGTCAAAACTAAAAGGTTCGGGACAAGGAGCCATTAAACAGTATCAGCAAAGGATGGCCCAATCACTGCGTTCGCAGGTCCCACGTCATTTTCCGAGCTGGCCAAATGGAGGAGTTTGTCAGCCGCGCAGCTGGCCGCCTGCTCAGTATGCAGAACTCTGTAAACCTGGCCCGCTGAACTCCCGTATCTAAATCATAGAAAGGGGTTTATAGAACTGCAACCTAGAAATTGCCTTTTAGAACTGCAACCAAAATCAAGAAAGACTGCAACCTAAATCGCAAAAAAATGTTTTCTAGAACTGCAACCGAAATAGCAGAAGTTGATTATAGAACTGCGACCTAAATCATTCAAAATGTGAAATAGAATTGCAACCGAAATCATAGAAGGCTCTTTATAGAGTTGCAACCTGAATCATAGAAAGAGTCTTTTTGAACTGCAACCTTGGAAAGTGATGAATAGACATCCAACCAAAGTTATAGAAAGGTCTTCATAGAGTTGCAACCAAATTTATATAAAAGCAGGTTGTATTTAAGTGCTACCTAAATCATAGAAAGCGAACAATAGAAAGTGTTTTATAGAGCAGCAAACTAAATCATAGATATGGCTTTGTGGGAGTTGCAACCTAAATTGTAGACGTTCTTCATGGAACACAAATCATAGAAAGTGTCTTCTAGGACTGCAACCTAAACCATAGAAGTTGCTGTATAGACTTGCAACCTAAATCATAGCAAGTTGTTCAAAGAATTGCGACCTTAATCATAGAAAGTTCCTCATAAGACTGCAACCTCAAACATAGAAAGTTCTTCATCGAATTGAAACCTAAATCATAGAAAGTTCTTTATAGAATTGCAACCTGAACCATAGAAAGTGTTGTATAGAACTGCAGCTTAACTCATGGAATGTGTTGTATAGAGCTTCAACCTAAATCATAGAAACTTGTTTTCACAACCTAGCTGCAGAGCAGAGGCTAGGTTTTTAGGTACCCTCTCGACACTTTCCGCTCTTAGAACGAGGGTAGCTGAGGAGCAGAAAAAGTGTTGAGAGGGTACCTACAAACTCTAAAAATCCTCTTAGCGTGGCGCGGGCAGGTTTTTTCAAGGTTTTTTAGGTACGGAAAAAAACCCTAGCTGAAAAGCAGAAAGTGTCGAGAGGGGAGCCTAAACAGCCTAAAAACAATTTATCCCAACTTCTGTGATTCAAGGGAGTCTCCGCCGTATATGGGGGGGGTAGTTTTGGGAAGCCCCTTCTGTTGTATCCCAGAAGTGGTTTCCATTTCCCACAGCCCTGTTGTAAATCGACCTTGGCTTGCTGTATCCACCAACCGGAATCAGCACTGCAGGCACAAGCTGCACCTTCGGGTCCCTGATGTACACAATTTGACTGCGAAACAAGGAGAACTGCAAAAAAGACACAAAGAGTGCCTTATTGAGTTGAGCTTTTTGTTGCCAAATTGCGTTGGTGCCTGTAATAATATTGCCAATTCGTTTGCTCCATAGCAAATGCCTGGTCTTGTGTATGCTAGCCATTGTATCTTGCCAAGAAGCCGCCTGTATAGTTCGTGTTGTTCGTGGTCAGGTAGTGCTTCGTCTGCTGTACTTTTGGCATGTGAGACAGGCGTTGGTACTGGATTGCATGTTGTCAAGTCTGATTCTTGTAGTATGACGCCCATATAGTTTGCTTCCAGGCTATTGTCGATGTAGTTGCGCTTGCGCGATGTTTCTGCCAAGGAAGCAAGGAAGTGTATGGTTGCTCCTATGTCGAGGTTGCCTGTGTGTCTTAGAAGTACTTCATTTCGTTGCCTGGCAAACTGTATGTCAATGATAATCTTATGCACAATAGATCGTCAACGTAGATCATGATGTAGACAAAACAGTCCTTCAATCTGTAGACATTGCTTTCTGCTATGCATCTCAGAACTTCAAGTGTGACTCTAAGGATGTGTTTGCGTGATGGCCTTATGCCGCCACATGATGTGCTTGTTTGCTATGCTGTAGAACTCCTTTGCTGGTCTCATCAGGTTACGTGTGATTGCCGTTGCGTGTAGGAATGCACTCCAATTGCAATTGTGAGAGTACGTATTCTCGGTATGCAAGACACAGGTGTACTTGCAATGAGCTGTTCGTGATTTGTAGCGAGTTCTGCCTTTTGCCATCATTCGTGCTTGTACTTCATTTTGTTGTTTGGTTTGAGAACCCATTTTGGCTGTATGATGTTTGCTGTTGCTCGTGCATCAGTGTGCGACGTCAATCTCTGATGGGTGTTTCATTTGTTATACTTGCATCTTCATTCCTTGTGCTACTTGTTCTGGATCCAAGCCTTCTGTGTCGTGCGTGATTGGCTCCAGTAGGATCCGTTTGTTTTCTTTTCTTGTGCATCTTCATTTTGATGTGATCTTGTGTTGCTTGCCATCTCGTGTCATAAACTTGATGGCTTGTCGTTCTGCTGTGCGCTGTTGCTTGCCAGTGTGTTCTTCTCTTTCTCTTCTCTTGTTGGTGATGTAAGTGCGAGTGCTGGCATCTTCTAATGTGTTGGGAGTGTTGCCAATGGCTTGGCTCTGTTGTCTTCTTCTGCTTTGTCTGCTGCTCATCCTGTGGTGTTGTGCTCGGCTCTTGCCATCTTCTGTTGTACTTGTCGCTGCATCCTTCTGTGGTGTAGGTGCTTTGCTTGCTGGTGGCATTGCCGCTGGTGTTGTAAGAGTCGGTCTAGGCAGTGCTGATGCCGGTGTCTTCCATGAACCTCCGTCTACACCGTCCAAAGGTGCTGGTTGTATTTGTGTGGCATGATCTGCCTTCTGATTGTCCTTGCTCTGACAATACTGTTTTAGATCCCGATGAGAAGTTCTCCTGTGGTGGTATCCTTGCCAAGCCAGTTTCCGTTGTAGAACCTTGACTCTAGTTTTGGAACTTGTTTGACTGCTGGTAGCACGTATTGCACTGTCTCACCAAACACGCAGAGTGGTGCAGTTCATGATGCACGTCGCTATGTCGAGCAACCAAGGGCAGGAGTGGATGCTCCATTGTTCTGATCTGTCCAACCAGTGTTCTGTGTGCTGGCTCGAATTTAGCTTGGTGGTGATGGTGCCGTTATTGCCGGCCACGAAGAAAGTTCTCCTGATCTATGTTGTAGGTTTGTGTGTGAGTTGTTCTTCCACATCCAATGAGGAAGTGCTGTAGCAGTGTGACTGCATAGTCGAAGAGCAGTCTCTTGTTGGTCAGTTGTATGGCCATGGTCACCCCAAACTGGATGTCAATTGCTGTAAGAATTGGGTGTACGTATCTGTCATCAAAGACTTTTACATGTGTCCTAGTTGAGCTGCATGATTGGAAGCTTGCCGTGCTGTTTTGGGTGGTTGTTTTGCTTCTGCCGTGTACGAGTATCGGACCAACTCTTGTATCGTTGTGGTCTCGTATCTTCTGTGTTGGTTGCGGTGCTTGTACTACTCTTGCTTTTGTGCCATGTTGTTGCTCCTCATCATCTGACTCGTTGTGGTCGGAAATTACTGATGTTCCTCAAAGTTTGTCCAGACTGTCCAAGGCTTGTCTGCTGTCTTTGCTGGTCACTTTGTCCGTTTGCCTTCAACCAGTCTGGTGTCTTGTTCTTCTGCAACTAGCTGCGCCGTTGTTTGCCTCCAAGGTGTAAGCCGCTTGATTACGCTCTGGCGCGTATAATGCTGCGTGACTCGATGTGCACCGATGTGCACTCGCTTCCAGTATGAGCCCTCTCTGTGCCAGTAATGTCCTCCATGATGTACTTTTGATAGGGTAAGTGTGCTGTTGTGACATACTGCTCCACTACCGTGTAGGAGCCTCCGTTTCCTGTTCACCTGTTCACTTGCGTGTGTGAACCAGCATGGCGCATTGATTGCACCAGGGCTGCAATGTATTGAGGTTCAAGGTTTGGGCACTTGTAATTGAATAGCATATACAGCAGTGCACGAACAGCAATCTGGCTTAGCTCCAATAGTGACAAGGAAGGACACGTTGGCCAAAGCGGACATCCCGATCATGCCAGACCGAGTCCAACGATCAGCGTGTGCAGTAGCGACCCTGTTTTGCAATGCTCGCGCGCAACATGAATCTGCGATTTGAAGGGTTTCTTCGGACTGTGTCGCAACGCCTTGGCCTTAAGCGTTTCGTTCGAGGTCGGAAGCACTTCGAAGCATCCATTCCTGCAATCCGAGCAGGAGGATAGCCAACTAGGCCGCGAAGTGTCAAGTGCGAAGCACCATTCAGCTTGTGAGTGCGCAGAGGTGGTTTGGGCCAACCCCTTAGATTCACATGATGTAAACTACAGTTGTTTAGGCATTTTTATCTGGGTTTCCTCAAATGGGGGCGGAGGCTGGTTGTTTAACCGCTTTTGCTTTGCCCTGGTGCTTTCAGATTGCTGGAGCGGCCTACTCAAAGATGGAGAGAGTCTCAACAACTACTGAGCAGCTACTGTGTTGAAGCTTTGCTTTAATATCGTGTAGGCCATGCATTTTTCTCAGGCACGCACTTTTCCAGCCTCTGTGGTTTTCCTTTGCTTTTTTGTTTGGTTTTGCAGGCTTTCGAATATCAAGGCCTTCCACTTGCTGTTTCTGGTTCCGGGCTCAATAGGTGGACTCGCAAAACGTGGCTCTCGTTGCTGGTTGGTCAGTCAGCTGGTTGTTGCCTATGCTGAAGCAACGTCTCCTGCGAGTCTCACGTCACCCGTAAGGCTTCAAGAAGCTTATTGGTCCCTGCTCTAGAATGTTCACCCTCACATCTAGCAAAGCCCTGCTTTACAGCGTGGTATTGGTGAGTGCTCGCTCCCACGGTGATAGTAGAACATATCCAGTATTTTGATTCGAGACCGGGCAAGCCATTGGCCAAGCATGGGAGCAAAAAAAAGGCGAGGGCATCCATGAAGCGAAGGGAATCCGGGGCCAAAGACCGGACCAGGCAATGGGATTGGGATGCGACCACTAAGTTGCGCTGTGTCAAAGCCAAGCGACGCCTTCAATTGGTTGGTTGCGCGCTTCTCTTTTTGAGCATGGGGGCAGCTCGTTTTGACCCGCCGCTCTTGGCAGATGCGGCGGCCCTGTCCAGAGTGCTGGAGGAGTCCAAGTCAGAATCGCCAGCAGAGTGCCCGGGGAAGGGGGGGCAGGGGCTCGGGAGATGCTTGTAGTCAGGCCAATGACAAACAATTGTGAATGCAAGAGGTTTATCGGGGGCAATCGAGGGGCAATTGTTTTTCGAGTTCGCGGGCCGTTTGCCAAGGATCCAGTTTGTTGTTGTTTCTTAGTTCCCGGAATGTCTCGTTTTCCGGTTGACAGCTTTCCAAAACGAGCGCGCGGCGATGTACAATGTACATAGTTTCTAAGACATCCCCAGTTCGACATGCTTTCTTTAAGTCCCATTTTGGTGAATTCCATTGAAGGTTGAAGGCTCCTGTCTTCGGAGTCTCCTTCTGAACGTGAAAAGAAGGAACGGCCACAAAAAGGACCTCTCCCGAAGGGCCACCAGAATCTCTTTGAGCCAGTTGCAACATCTATCGAGGTGATATGCAAGGTGAAGTGGGTGCGTATGCGCGCGAGTGGTGTGAATCCGGGCGCAGGTCCCAGTCTGGCCAGGCGCGGGCGCGCATGGGAGTTGCCGAAAGCAATTCTGGTGGGCCTTTCCGAAATATTCTGTGGATGAGGGGGGGGGGGGCAATAGCCGCACTGTGTCGGCGTCCGAGTTTTGATATAGACGTTTAGTCATGCACTGCTGGGCAATCAGCCAGATTCTTCGCTGGGTTGGAACTTGCTCATTTGTAGCGTCTTCTCAATAGGGATCCTGGATCGGAGTTAAAAGTGCTAATGTATGGTCAACTTGTAGTGACTGCGGGTGTTGGGACCTTTAGTCATGGTGAGGGTTGAATGGCATAGCTTTAGTCATACCGTCATACCCAAAGGGTTCATCCTTGCGATCAACATAACCCTCCCCCAATCCCCATGTCTTGAGGCTTGGGACTTACTGGGTTTCTCCTGAATTCGAAATAAGCTTCGGTGTTGTTATTTCCTTCTAAATGTCCGACTTGTGTGCAAACGGGCAAGAGCAACATCCAGCAATCAAAGTAATTACTGCGCCCAGGTCCTGCTTGTGTGCAATTGACTTACTCATAGTCTGTCAGTTTGGAGAGGACATTGGGGACAACATGTTTCAACATCAGGGGAATCAGGGGCCACCCAAATTCCCCTGCGGGTTGGTCTTTTTCAAGGTACCCATTTGTGCTTGTTTCAAAAGGAAATCACAACAAAAAGCGCCATAGAGAAGCAAGTAATTTTGACCGTGGCTCAGGCTCACCTTCTCAGGCCAAGAAACCCTCCTACCACTTGGCCACCATTATTCGGTCACTTTCAGAGGTGTTCAATAAATCTATCGAGCCAAAGCGTGTAGCTGTTGCGTTCACGCTGCACTGAGTTTGCAGTACTTAGCGTGCAGCATGAATCACCGGGGCTGTTACATGCGTGACCACAGCGGTGAGGCGTGCGGAGTCAGTTCAAATGTAAATTCCATCGCGCAGGCGCAGGCGTCTCCGGTGGTCGCTCAGGCCTCTGCTGCAAAGCTGCAATTTGCACTTTGCATTCTTGTAAATAAGTCGTGTACGCATGCAGCGCGCAGGGTACCAGTGTGCTGTCAGCTTACATGTTCTCGACTCGACCATTTCATTTGTCACGTCCATATGTCTGCATCACAGCGCTGGCAAGTGTTTCATGACAGGAACTTGTTGGCAAGTCTTTTCCGGGCGACGGCCTCCGACTTTAAAGATGCTTATTGGGTGACCCTCTGCTGAACGGTTTCTTGACAAAGAAGCGTTTGTGCGCAGGTGATGCTGGTCCTTTCTGTTGTGCGCCATAGTAGGCAGTTCGCCTAATCCCAGTTGAGGAGCATTCGTTTAAGGATGCAGCCGCCACAGGAAGGCATTAAGTACATTGGTGGTGGTTGCAGCATTCTGGTGGTTTGCAGGGGCTTTTGCGGTGGAGGCTATGCTAGATGTATAGATGCTGGATTAAAGTCCTGGCAGCTAGCAAGCGTTTGGAGGCAATTACAATTTGCAGCGCCGGATCTTTTGACGAGTAAATCAAGGCAACAACGGCTTTGGTAGGGTGCCGCCCGCGTGGGCTTGGCGTAGCCAAGGCGCGGGCATAGGCTCAAGGTTTAAGAGGCAACCAGCAACCGGGCTGCGAAAGCGCAGGCCGACTCATGTCTCATTTCTCCGCGTGTAATTCGGCTCCCAGTGCGGTGGCGAAGGTATTTGTTTGTTTTTCGTCAGCTCCAATGCGAAATGGACTCCCCACAGCATGGGTTTCCGTTTGGTTTTTACAGGCCGCAACAAGCAACTAGCCTATAGATGTTTTTAGACTTGGCTCAAAGTTGTGTTCTCTTTTGGAAGACCCTTCCAAACAACGGAGCGGGGCGCTGCAATTGCAAGGGCCACCATACGTGTTCCGTCATTTCCCTTTGGTACAAGGGAATCAGGTAACTGTGGCAGGAGCCTACGTGTGGTGTTCCAGTTCGGGAGTTCAGGGGGCATGCCATAAGTGTTTGGGGTCCTTGGCAAATCCGGGTTCTCAACATGATTGGAACCCCTCACTTTTTGAGGCACCAAAAGGAAACCATACCCCTGAAAATGTACAGGTAAGTTTCAGAAGCACCCAGGCATTATCATGTGATCTCAGATTTTGGGCTGAGGAGGCAGACCACATTGAGAGTGCGGCCGAGATCGCAGCTGCAATACATGCATTGGAGGCCGACCTGCATTGAGCTCTTGACCATGAATTGTCGAGTGGCGGTATCGCCATTCAGCCACATTTTATCCCCCCACACCCCCCGGGTTATGCGTTCACGATGCTTGTCTGCCAGTGTCCGCATGAATCTTGCAGCTGGATGGTGCCCCCCCCCCCCTCAACCTTCTCGTGGGTCGCTAGGCTGACTTGAACCCGCCCAAGACAACTTTCACTTCCTTCCTGGAGGGGGACGCCTATGCTACTTTGGCAGCATGGAGGGCGGTATGGAAGGGGTGGGGATGGAAAGCTGGCGGGTAAGCGGGCATTTGGACGTTTCTTTTAGAATTTGATCGTGTTGCCTCAAAATTGTGAGAACAATGAACAATGGTCAATAGTTCCCGCCGCTCTCTGTAGTACAGGGAGCCGCATTGCGTAAACTCACCAAATTACTAGTACTGACCAAATGCCCATGTCAGTTCGGGAGATAGTATCAACACTTCTTCAGATTCACCCTGACCGCCAATAGCCCATAGGTTGATTGATTGCTATCAAGCCGAGGTACTCTGACGTTAGCTTAGTCATGCTTCCAAGAGCTGGACAAGTGAGTTGCCCCCAGCCATTCCTCAGTTTGCTGCGTGGGCCGTGAGTGAGGTTTGTCCTCGGCCCTTGTCAACAGTCTCAAGCGGGTTTCCTCTAAGACATCCTTCATCCCGGAACTCTGAAATTCCGTTTCAGGTGTGTCAATTGACCATGGCTCCCTGGCCGAATGATTACCTTCACATTTGTCTCATGCGAGCACTTCTCACCAAAGCAAAGCTGCCCGGTCGCACTTCCGGCGTGCGTGTGTTGCGCTCAGGAGTTATTCATTGGCCTGCTCATCATCGTGAACTCCTTAGTCATGGCAGTGGAGTTTGAATATCAAGGACCCCCCCGACACACGGGATTCCAAGAGCGACACCCCTAGCCCTAAGGGCTCCGGTGCGCATGACAGCGAAATTCCGAGGTGCGTCAATGCTAGATAGGCACGGCAACAAGTATCGTGTGCCTGGACAACTTAGACCACGCCAGGTGGCTGTAGTTTGGGACTCACGCTTCCCTCAAAACTAACCTTTCCACCCCCAAAGGGCCTCGAAGAGGAGACTCCTGCCAAATCTGCGTTGTTGAGGCTCCACTTCAGTTTTTTAGCTGTGCAAGTCTCTTTATGTGCCTGCGCATCCCAACCCGCCCTACAAGACATTTGTTCCCCACCGGTGTTGCAAATGCGCTTCTGTTTGGTGGCTGAAGGGACATTAGCTGTTCTCTCCAATTGACGCCAAATGCATGGTTTCTGTTTGGTTTGCGTTTAGACGCTCGAAAGGGTGGAATGTGGGTTTTTATTTTGCTTAGCACCGGCTTGTCGGGTTGCGGTTGGTTGGTTGGTTGGTTGGCTGGCTGGCTGGCTGGCTGGCTGGCTGGCTGGCTGGCTGTGTTGAGCTGGTGGGTTGTTGGGTCGTTGGGCTGCTGTGCAGTTGGGGTGTTGGGCTGCTGGGCTGTTGCTGTTGGTTGGCTGGTTAGCTGGTTGGTTGGCTGGTTGGCTGGCTGGTTGGTTGGGGGCTTGGTTGCTTGGTTTCTTGGTTGCCTGGTTGGTTGCTTGGTTGCTTGGTTCGCAGGTCGGGTGGCTGGCTGGCCGGTTGGTTGGTTGGTTGGTTGGTTGGTTGGTTGGCTGGCTGGTTGGCTGGCGAGTTGGCTGGCTGGCTGGCTGGCTGGTTGGTTGGTGGCTTGGTTGGCTGGTTGGTTGGTTGATTGGTTGCTTGGTTGCTTGGTTGGTTGGTTGGCTGGCTGGTTGGCTGGTTGGCTGGTTGGCTGGCTGGCTGGCTGGTTGGTTGGTGGCTTGGCTGGTTGGTTGCTTGCTTGCTTAGCTTGCTTGCTTGGTTGGTTGCTTGGTTGCTTTGGTCGGCGGTGTTGGTTGGCCGGCTGCCTGCTTGTTTGGTTGGCGGGGCGGTGGCATGGCACATATGCATTCGTTTGATTGTTCGTTCGTTCATCCATCCATTCATCCATCCATTCATTCATTCATTCATTCATTCATTCATTCATTCATTCATTCATTCATTCATTCATTCATTCATTCATTCATTCATTCATTCATTCATTCGTTAGGTCAGTCAGTCAGTCAGTCAGTCAGTCATTCAGTCAGTCAGTCAGTCAGTCAGGCAGTCAGTCAGTCAGTCATTCAGTCAGTCAGTCAGTCAGGCAGTCAGTTAGTCAGTCAGTCAGTCAGTCAGGCAGTCAGTCAGTCATTCAGTCAGTCAGTCAGTCAGTCAGGCAGTCAGTCAGTCAGTCAGTCAGTCGGTCAGTCAGTCAGTCCTTTATACACTCACCCACCTAGTGCGTCACTGAGCTTCTTTTGCAATCGCACACTTTCGTCAGTAATATCCTTAGTTGGTTTGTATTGGGGGGGGCTGCCCCCCCCAACCTCCTGCCCTTTGTTATTGCAGGGCCGTTTGTTCGGCTTGGTGATCCTTGTTTGTAATCGCACACTTTCTGCCTTGGTGTCTGGATTTGTTTCGCTTTTCGGGGCGGCTTTCCCCCCCCCCAACCCCCCCACTTCTTTACAGGGCCTTTGTTCGGACTGTTGTCCTTGCTTGCAATCGCGCACTTTCTCCATTAGTGTGCGGATCTGTTTTGCTATTGGGGGGGGCTGTGCCCCTTGCTTCTTTGTTCGGCTTTGTGATCCTTGTTGTATCGTGAGATTTGTTTCGGGAATAGGGCTGCGCCCCCCAACCCCCCGCTTCTTTCTAAGACCGTTTTTCGGCTTGGTGATCCTGGTTTGCAAGTGCGCACTTTCTCCATTAGTGTCTTTATGTGTGTTCTATTGGCCCCACTTCTTTACAGGGCCGAAACCAACTCTAAACACATCCTACACCAGCCCTAAACCACTCTAAACCAACCCCAAAAAGCCCATAAACCAGCACTGAAGCATCCCCACCCCCAATTTGCCTCACGGTCCATCTTGCCTCGCTTGCTAACTTGCGGCCCCAGCTCCCGGAGCCGGTGCTAAGCACAGAGCCGGTGCTGAGCAAAAGAAAAACCCTCCGCCCCTCGAAAGGATTTCCCCTCAAGAATCCACAGCTCGATGTCGGTCACCTTATTGCACATGGCATAGTACCAAAGTCTCCCAACAAGAGCGTCAGTGGGCGCGTTGCGAAGTGCCGAGTGCTCCAACATCAGAGCTTTTCATTTCACTGCATGCGATATTGTCAGAGCGTGTTTGCTTGCTGATCGTGCCTGGCTTGCTTACCGTCTTTTCTGGGCTGGGCATGCTTGCCTTGCTGGACCCGCCTGGCTCGCTTATTTTTTTGGCGTGGCATGCTTGCTTGATTTCTTTCTTGCTTGGCCTTCCTGGCTTTTCTTGGCTTGGCATTCCCTTTTGAGTTCTTGCCTTCTTGCTTGGCTTTCTGGGCTTTGCTTGGCTTGCCTTCGGCTGACAACTGCTTTGCACTGCTTCTGGATGAATGTGTGTTCGCAAGCGTCATGCCGACAAAAATCAAGAAGTGGCTCTGTTGCGGGGCTTCCAGGGCGGCAGTTTGCTGAGGAACCTGTGAGGAAGCAGGGATGGTGTTGGTTTCCGCCACTTGTCCACTTTGGTATCGCAGACCATGATTTGGCATGGCTTACCAGGTGAAAGGCGGCCTTTGCCGATTTGAATCAGGGACCTGTATCACAAGACCAATGTTAGTTGTGGTCAGAGACTTCGGCTTCCATTTCGTATCCCGGAGCCAGGATACGTGATGGGCCATGACTTGGACTACCGCAGAATGCAAGGGCCGCCAGAGGAGGCTCCTTAGCAGGAACTGCCCCGACCAATCGTTGAGTGGGCAACCCGAACAAGTGTTTCCCTTTCAAACAAGGGCTACTGTGCAACTGGGCTTTTGTGGGAGGGTCTCCGTTGAAACGCGGTCAACCAACAAGATCAGGTGCTCTCTTTTGTCCGTCGCTATCTCCAAGTATTCTGTTCATGCTCAGGGCACTGTCCCTGATAGAGGCTCCTTTGGGCCTTTGTGTGAGTCGTTTGCCGTTAAGCTAGTCGAGATTCAAGGAGGCCTGCCATGGCAAAATGCTCATGTCCGTCGGTCAACCTGTGTCGAAGCCAGTGACACCTCCAAATACCTGAACAGCGGTTCCCGCACACGTGCTATTAAGGTCTAAGACAAAAGATCAGGTGAAACTGGGGTCTTCTTTTCTTGAGGATCTTGCGCTTTCTCATGCTGGGCCTTTGTGTTAGCATCTCATGTTGAGCAAAGTTTGGGGGGATTCCCAAAGTGGTCTTCTCAATCGATGCATGTGCCGTGGTCAAATCGCACTTTATGCCTATTTTGGACTGGGTTTCTCGTGGGAAACCAGGACCATCCCCAAGCGTCACCACGACAGAACGGGGAAGGTAGATCAAGAACAGTACCGCTCGTTTATTTACCTTTGGTTCTCTATGAGAAACAGCGAACCCCAAAGGAACCCCAGTTTTTAAGAAGGCTCCCTCTACTTGGGCGCCAAAGGTTACTTGGCTTTCCCTAAAGGGGTGGGGCAACCCAACTTTCATGCGACAAGAGTGTCTCAAGTGTTTTTCGGGGAGGCTTAAATATGTTTCTTCAGAAGCTCTCAACAGGCCCTCAAGAAAGGAGTCCGCAATTGCCCCCAAGCGGAGAGTTCGGGTCTTTTGTTTTTCCCCTGCGCAGGTTTGGGCGTCGGCAAGCGACGTGTTCCGGTACATCAATCTGGTCTTCACCGTTATTTTTGTCGTGCCTCAGAAAATGTGAGGGAGTGAGCTTGACCCCCCCGCAATGACGGAGGAGACAGGGAAATAGAAAGGCAAAAGAGAGAGCGAGAGAGAGAGAGAGAAAGACACAACATGAGAGAAAGAGAGAACGACAGAGATGGAGAGAGATATATATATATATATAGGGCTGTGTGTAGGTTGAGGGTACCTTTCCGGGCTTGGTAACACGGGAACCCAAAGGAAAACCGAAGAGCATTCTGGGTGTTGCCGCAATCTTGCAAATGAATATATATTTGTTTCTGGCGGATTGAAAACTACCGTTTTGGGGTGGAGTTCGAGGGTGCTACTTTGAGTGGGGCAGTTGAACTGTGGTCTCTGGGTGGGCCCTTGGGCAGCGGTTCAATGTCAGCATCCTGGTTGATGGGGTATGTGTCAGAACCAATTGATTGTTTCTGACACATAGCCCAGCAAAGGCCCCTTTTCATCCATGAAGCGAAATCTGCATAACGGTCGTTTGGTGAGTTTGACATGCAATATTCGGGCCGTTTCCGGCGCATTCGGGCGGTTGGCGGTTTGCCGTTCGGCGGGGTCGCTGCGAAAATTCGCTTTTCAGCTCTGCCCGTTCTGAGCTAGCCACCCCTGGACGACCCGCTGGTGGGGTCCTGCTATCGAAATAATTGACTGCTTTACTTCAAGGTGAGGCTCTTGTCTTTTCCCAAATCCATGCCCCAGACTCCTGAGCCCGATTTCATGAACCACAAGGCGTCCAGTCACATCCTGTCTTCCTCTCTGGTGTCTCCAAGACACACTCGAAATACGGGTTCGGGATTTTTGGACACCCCAAGGTCCCAAGGACTGTTCTCATGAACTCGGTATCTCTATCACCCCCTTTGTGCCTCTCGGTGGACCCTAAACTCTTGAGCCTCCTCCTTTTCCTCTCCCTCCTGCTCCTCCTCCATTCTTTCCGCCTTACTCCCCCAATCCCACTCGAAATGTCATGCTGCTGATGTATGAAGATCTGTTTATGCCAATGTATGTGCAGAATATCATCTAAGACCGTCCCCTTCAAGCTCACTTTATATTGCGCTCTGTAAATATATTGCATGCATGTGTTCTATACATATATACATATATATACATATATATATACATATATATATATATATATATATTAGGTTTGTCTTTCTTTTTGTTGTGTTGAGTGGCTTTGAAATGCAACCTTGGCGAATCAGACCCCCGAATCATACCCCGAAGCATCCTCCCGAAGCATCCCCCCGAAGCATCCCGCGAATCATCCCCCTTCAAAACGTATGCTGCAAGATGCTACCTTTCTTTAACCGTTTGTGTTGTTCACTGTCTCCACAACAACCCCTGCTACTAATACTGCTGCCACTACTACTGCTACTACTTCTCCTACTGCTACTGCTACTACCACTACTCCTCTAACTGCTACTGCTACTGGTACTGCTATTTCTAGTCCTACGACTACTACTACTACTGCTGCTACTACTACTACTACCACTACCACTACCTACTACTACTACTACTACTACTACTACTACTACTACTACTTCTACTACTACTACTAGTACTACTACTACTACTACTACTACTACTACTACTACTACTACTACTACTACTACTACTACTACATACTACATACTACTACATACTACTACATACTACTACTACTACTACTACTACTACTACTACTACTACTACTACTGCTGCTATTACTACTACTACTACTACTACTACTACTACTACTACTACTACTACTACTACTACTACTACTACTACTACTACTACTACTACTACTACTACTACTACTACTACTACTACTACTTACTACTACTACATACTACTACTCACTACTTCTACTACTACTACTACTACTACTACTACTACTACTACTACTACTACTACTACTACTACTACTACTACTACTACTACTACTACATACTACATACTACTACTACTACTACTACATACTACATATACTACTACTACTACTACTACTACTACTACTACTACTACTACTACTACTACTACTACTACTACTACTACTACTACTACTACTACTACTACTACTACTACTACTACTACTGCTGCTGCTGCTGCTACTACTGCTGCGGCTACTACTCCTACTCCTACTCCTACTCCTACTGCTACTGCTACTGCTACTGCTACTGCTACTGCTACTGCTACTACATACTACTACTGCTACTGCTACTGCTGCTACATCAAATCATACCCTCCAATCATACCCCGAATCATGCCCCCGCAGCACACCCGCGATTCATACCCCGCCTCAGACATTTATAAGTGGGTGAAAGGAGATCTAGTCTATTCCACTCTTTTTGTGTTTGTTCTAATCGAGTCTGGTTGAGCACAATCTATCTACTTGTTCGTGTATATAATCTGTCGTCTGTTTGTCCATGCATTGGTTCGTTTGTTTGTCCTGTCCTGTCTGTTTGTTTGTTTGTTTGCGCCTGCCTGCCTGCCTGCCTGCCTGCCTGCCTGCCTGCCTGCCTGCCTGCCTGCCTGCCTGCCTGCCTGCCTGCCTGCCTGCCTGCCTGCCTGCCTGCCTGCCTGCCTGCCTGCCTGCCTGCCTGCTGCCTGCTGTGTCTGTCTGCTGTGCTGTCTGTCTGTCTGTCTGTCTGTCTGTCTGTCTGTCTGTCTACCGCGAGCGCTCTACGCACCAAGAAGCACGCCTATTGCCAGACATGAAATAGACGAACGTAGTTCAATTGCTTGGAAGTGCAACAAGCTATGGACACCGCCGGGGCGCGAGCGGAATAGCGCAGTGGCACCGATGGACCTCATCAGGACCGCCCGCCGGCAAAGCAACTGGACACACCATGACAGCAATTGGCATGCCACTCGGACGCCCCAGGCAGAATACGTGTGGGGACGCTACCGTAGCGTAACTGTGCAGGCCCGCGGTTTAGTCAAATTTGCTCTTTTCTCCAAAAATCACAGCGTGCCCTTGTGCATCTTATCTTTTTGTTTGTCTGCTCACCCACTGACTGACTGACTGGCTGGCTGGCTGGCTGCCTGCCTGCCTGACTGACTGACTGACTGACTGACTGACTGACTGACTGACTGTGACATCAAAGTACCTACGTATATATCTATACATATATACACACATCGAAGACAACCCTCTTTTTTCACTTGTATATATTATATTTATGTTGTATTCATGCAAGTTTGAACAAACACAAGTCCCTCTAAGGTGGACGTCACGCTCCGAATCTCTTTCTTGCGGATGCGGTTTTGGAAGAACTCCTTCAACTGGTTGGACTTCGTGGTGGTGGTTTGCGCCGTCACTGAGATTCTCTTTGAAGGGCTCCTTCCCTTGGTTTCTCGTCCTGCGAGAGGGTCCGAAGGGGCGGGAGGAAGTCGGTTGAAAGTGGTGGCCTGTGCGCTTTCGCAAAGAATTGGTTCTCTGAGAATGACAAAAGCCTTCCGTCATTGTTGATGTGCAAGGATGTCTCTATCAGGAAGTTTGCATCGCTTGCACAGCGCCTTAGCGATCTGAGCCCTTGGGCCTCAGAAAGATTGCCAGAACATCATGGAGCCGCGCTTGCATTGACCGAAATTTATGTTGCATGAACCAAGTCGAACGACTGGCTGTGGTGTGAGGTGCTGTTGCCCCACGCAAGCAGTTCTGAGAGGCTACAGAGGAACTGTTCCGGCATTTGTATTAGGATTCCCTGGCCTTCCCCAATGGGTCCCTTGGCCTTGGTTTGAACCCATCTACAGTGTTTTCTTGGGGTGGATGATGAGTGCAAGGGACATCCATGAAACCCTGATAGTTCTGGCAAAGGGGGCATTTTGGTGCTTCTCAACATCCAAGTTGCCAGCTCCCAAAAAGGTGTTTCAGTACAAGAAACGGGCTCACCGGTAAGCTACAGTAGCTTGGTGGATGTGTCTCTTCCGATACTTGTGTCCGCACAGTCTGTACTCTCGACACTGATTCTGGTGCTTCTGAAATCAAGGACTCCTCTTTTGGCTGGATTTCAGACGAAAGCCAATGGGACACCAATCAAGCGATGCTACTTGGAGGTCCAGTCTTCTATTTTAGGCCGCACGCAGTGAGACAACCAGTCGAAGGAGCCGTGAGCCATGCACGCTATGGCGCGAGGATTCCAATAGGAATACGTTTCAGGCACCGGCTGATCCATAGCGGAGCTCTGAGGGGAGTTGGTTTCCCACCCTCGAATCATGGGGCTTTGGGTATTGGAATCATACCCTCATATTTCCTAATACTCTCATATGTTCCTTTTTTGTTTTGGGTCGGAAGGATGCTTTGGTTACCCCTCGAATCATGGGGCTTGCGTCCTCCGGTTTCTGGAGGCTTCAAGGCTTCTCGCGATGCGCTTCAGGACACGGTTTTCATCCGGCTGCTGCGCTTGGGCAAGGTGGCCCGGGCCTTCCGCGTGGTGCGCCACACGGAGGACCGAAGCGGAAAGGGACCCAAAGTGATGGGAGATAGGGCAAGCCTCAAATGGCCATGGGTCAAGATCCCGTAATTGCAGTGAACATCCGATTCAATCCAACCACTAAAATAGGTTCTAAAATGGGTAGTGAATTCGCCTACCAACCTTAAAATGGTACCATTGGTTTTGACCCACAGCCAAATGTGTGTTGTGTTTCCTCAGTTGTCCCTTTAACAAAACCATAACCAGGGTACCGACTCCATAGGAGCCCGCACACCTATGGCGTCCTTGCCCTTCGCTCCCAAGTTGCCTTGAAAAGACACTACTCAACTCAACGGTTCTGGGTAATTTATGGCAACCTCACTGTACGGGGTGTTGCGATGTCGCCCATGATGAATTGATTCCTTTCTTTACTGTCCATCTGGTACGTCCAGAACAAACTCCCGCTTAGGAGTTTTC